TGTGAACAGCTTGACTCCAGTTCTTGTTTCCTCTCCTCTGGTCACTCCAGCTGCACGTGCCGTTAGTTCATGTCTCGGGTCCCGTGTTAAAATCTGATCTCAGTCATGTATTTTACCCTTATCTCTAAAGTAAAATATTTCAACTTTTTAAGTGCTTTTTAAAATAAAACGAATGGCTGTCCTGGATACTACAGAGCTTCAGCAGTTGCCATGGTAATCAACATCCAAATAGCAAGCATCCGCTTTTTGTTTTTTTTCCCCCCATTGTCTGTTTATTATCCAAAATGGCAGAAGGAAATAAGATTATTTTCTGTATTTTCTGTTGCTATACTGTTGCTATAAGTGACTCTAAACACATGTGTCTGTATTGTTGTCCCTAGGCAGCATATGAATATTTTATTATGTAACCGAGCCACATGCCATAATGTCCGCGCCACCATCTCTTCTTTACATGCTTTCAAACTAAATGAAAAGCACTATTTAAACATGCCTCAATTCCCAATTTGCACATTTCACATTCTAATAAAAAATATAATTAACAAACACATAACAATCCCTCACAAAAACCCTTAAACCCTGTGGTAAAATTAGCATTGTGTTACCCTCCACTTAGATGTTGATTATATCTTTATTTGATGAAGTAAAGTTTCACCTCATTTAGATTATTAGTATCTAGAACACCAAAGCAAAGTTTTCATGTACATTTATAGATATTCTTTACTTTGAAAATGAAGAGCTGTCATTTGATGATGAGTGTAATTAAAAGTATTTATTTCCACTGTGATTCACTCTTGGAACAAAAGCGAAAGAAAGTCCAGAGTGGGTGGATTCTTTTTTAGACAATGCAATATAGTCAGAGTTCTTTGAGTTACCAGCTGCTCTGATTTTGGCTTCCAAAGTGAGGTTAAATGCTCAAACAGCCTGTGTGAACACTGTCGGTCAAAGTATTGATGTGTGTGGGTTTCGTGGGTTTGAATAGTGTGTCTTGGCACCATAGCAACTTGCGACTGTGTTTCTCTGCACCTCAGCAAAGGTTAGAGCCACATTCCATGGATTTAGTCAATTAAATCTCTCCCGTATGGCGTGGAGAGAGGATGTTTAACACTTCACTTTGAGTCATAGAATTCACATCTTTTTGGATATTTCTTGGAAGTGGGCTTCATTATTATTCAATCATTGGTTGATAGACAGCTGAAGCTTAGCAACAACTAACATGCAGATTTATTCATGGCTCAAACACAAAAACCCATCACAGGGTCTTGCATCGTAATACAATCGTTTATAGAATTACGTTTCAAGTTTCGTTTCAATCAAGTATCATGTTTTTAATCTTGTTTCCGTATTGGAGGACATTCCTTCGGTTTTCTTCCCGTGGAGTAGAGCTTGGCGTCTTGGATAGACGGAGTTTATTCTCAGCCGGCGTGCCTCCAGGCATAGAGCCTCATTACAGCCCCAATCGCTCCCCCAGCAGCCGCCAGCGACCAGGGAGCCTCCTGCCCCCCCCCCCCCCCCATTAGGCCCGGTGCTGGTGTCGAGGAGGGAGCGGCTAGCTGTCACCCGACACACACAAGCCCAATCTCAGCATTTCACACTCGGGGCTGTCACGTTGTCAGCTTCACAGCAAACACCGAGCTGCATTATTTATGGTCCACGCGCTTCAGCCTGGACCGCTGCATAGAGATCTGCGCGTGAGATCGTGTGTTCGGATTCTTGCAGGAGGCTTTGGGGACCCGGTTTGCAACTTCTCGAAGGATAATTCAGTGTTTCTAAGTGGTGTGAGTCAGGTTAAAAGGCTTTCAGGAGTATAACGTTCTTAAAAGCTGCCGCACAGCTGTGAAAGCCGCCTCAATCCAGCTCCTGTGTCGCATTGTTTACCTCAGCTAATAAAAGAAACCATGAGCCGTCACGTTGAACTGATCTTATTGGCTGCAGACTGTTGGAGATCTATTGTGAGCAGAACAGAGACACTGGCGTCCACGTCGGTGCGAATGGAATCTTTTCTTCTTGGAAATGCGTTAAAAGTTTGCAGAATGTCACAACACGAAAATAAAGCAAATGTTGACTTGAGTAAATATTCTTTTTTTACAACCCAGCGTAACGGCCGACATAATCGTGTTTATTGCCCCTTTAAAACAAGTTAACTGCCGTTGTCAAAAGCGCAGCTGCCCCGTTTCTCCGTGGTTTATTAGCGAGGTGCCATTCGGGACATCAGAACATCGGCTCTCACTAATCACTCTACATCTTTACACACGTGGACAAATAGAGGACGGGGTTGAATACTGACAATTCTATCAGAGAGGATACAGTCGCAGTTGTTGCTATGAATAGTCCTCATACTGACAGTCGCTCTCAGTATTATTGCTATATTATTCATGAAGTTGACATAACTTCAATATCGCAGTTTGTGGAGTTACCGAGAGTTGCGTCATTGAGATGATAAACCACTGGTGGCCACAAACATCATTTATATTTTCTCTAAAGCATTTTGAATTTATAAGAGGGGGGGAATATTTCTTAAAATGTACAGTGTTTTTTTTAAATGACAGTGGAATTATAGTGACTCGAGTCTTAAATTCTTGGGTGAGACGGCGCGGAATCATTTCGGTGGGTGAGTCATTGCTGAACAAATTGCATTCGTCCCCTCCGTTTGTCACAATGCGGATTAATCAACATGTCCCCCACGGGGGACGAGGACAGAGTAGCAGGCTGATGAAACAACGTTAGACAATCAGAGGACAGTCAGACACGGTGCTGATTGTGCTTTGTGTGGAATGTTCTCAGATGCAGCAGGTCGCCGTGAATAACGTCACCATGTGGATAATCCATCCTTTGGGCCCCGAGGTGGTACCAGGTACCAGTGGATCATTTGATTAAAATGTTATAAAATGAGTATCTACTTTTTTAATAGAAAGAAACTTTTTTTTTAATGAATTAATTCAGTGATCCACAAATGATGTTAGACTTAATTACAGCCTCCCCAGTTTCTCCCGACCTCATGTGAGACCTTTATATACAAAAGGAAATCTTCAGTGCTGCATGCAAATGTTTGGCTCTTAAAATAAAATCTAACCCCTATTTGTAGAATGGAAAACTATGGACACAAAGACGGTGACTCTTTGTTGGATAAAACTGCTTTTTATTTGTTGTGACTGAACAATTCCCCGGCTATTAGGTACCAATATTGTGCCATTTGTTTGTTTCACCACACACAGCAGTTAAAACCAACCGCACAGAAGCACCCGGTCGATCGCCAATTAACACGGGCTGCTCCTGTGACGTCATGAGGCCCTTCACAGCTGGGTGACGAGAGAGGTGCCAACAAGAGGCTTTGCAGTCATTCTGTGAAGAGAAGTGTACTGATTGGGGATGCTGATTGTGACTATAAGGCCGTTGATTGTGTGTAGCTGAAGAAATTAGTTAATCAACTGCTTTCGATTTGCATAATGTTTTAGACTATTTTTAGATGGAGAAAAGCAATGGCGCTGACGCAGAAGCAGAGAAAGAAAGAGAAGGACAATGAGTTCACTGACAAAACATTGCATGGGAACATCATTCATCTTCAGACAAGTGTCCTCATTCCACATTTGTGTTTACCATTTTTTATTTGATACTGTTGAATTTGGATTTTGTTGATTGTGCTCCGTTAATGCAATTTATATTTCGTTGCATTTTCTTAAAACCTACATTACGTAGATTATCCACCAGGGAGCAGCAGCAGACGTTCACTGTGATGGAGAATGGATCACAAGCCATATTTATTTCTGTGTGGATGAGCATTCAGAGTGACACTGCACGCTATAGTGTTGATTACACAGCAACGTATGACATGGCAGGAGTGTGACAACACATAGGATCTATTTCTGTGCCACACTGTGTGACCTTGTCTTTAAATACACTGTGTTGAGAAGGATGAGAGGGAAATATGCTCAACCTCGGCAGGTGACAACTGTAAAAGCAAATGTGTCGTAATAAGTGCATAACAATAGTTTAATTCACGCATTAAATTAAACATGTTTTTTTGGAAAAGATATAGGTGTTTTACCCACAGGTTTGATCTGAGTTTAAGGTGTTGATATTGTGTGCAGTTTAAGCAAATTCTTAAGCGTTGCATTCACCAGCTTGCACTAACAGCCAAATGGGAAACGACAGCCAGCATCTGCACTCTTGTGCAATGTACAAAGTTTTGGCGCGATAACATTTAACAACTCAGTTCCCGGATTGTTGGGCACCCACTGAAAATAGTTTCAAAGGGTTCAAAGGATCATTTGGAGTTTGAATTCTATTGCGCTGTGACAGTGAAGGGAGCACACGATTTCTCAGCAGGGAGGATATAATTATAAAAATAGGGTGTGAATGCTGAAGCACACACAGATCTCTGATAGAACACTGGGATTAAGAGCTCAGATGGGAAGGACTGGACCGTCTCTCCACTGTCTCGCCACCGTCTCCTGGGTAATGCCAATGTTTACCCAGCTATTATTATCAAACCACCCCACGTTTCCACCACAGAGACACAAGCGGGAGAGACACGAGACAGACAGAGAGAGAGGGAACGTCAGGAGGAGTAAATGAGACACATCAGAGGAGGAATTAGATTAAAGAAGGGCCACGATTGACATTGATACATTGGATTGAGCGCGTAATGAAGTAAATGAATAGGAGTTGGTGAAGCGCTGCCCACCGACAGGGGAACGGCTCTGTGTCGGAAACAAACACGGGCAGTGGAACATAAAAGATAAATGAGGGCTGTAAAGTGGGGATTGTTCAGAGGGAGGAGGACATTCTCACAGTGTGTCTGCATCCAAATCGACGGACACACAGCTATTTATTCCAGCCGTTCTGGCATCATCTCAGCTCCTTAAATGCATGTTTTAACTTAGCTGTTATTATCATATTTTCTTCATTCATTTGTATTAACTATTCACCATTAGATATGAAGACAATATGTTCATTTTGTATCCTGAATTAAACAGTGACAAGAAAATCAAAAAAACAAGAGAGCAGGGCAGTTCATCTTTTATTCAAAAATATAAATATCTATGTAAAATCTTTCAACATGATTACACACGTTTGAAATTTGTTCAAGGAACTAATCTTAGCCTGTAAAGTATCTATTCTTCTATTAGAATTCGAGCATATACGTTACATACACATTAGCCGCACTCGACTAACAAGGCGAATAACTTAAGGTCATTAGTTTCAGTCCTCTTGCGTAGAGATGTCAGCACACACACGCACACACACACACGCACACTATGTACAGACGCTGTGTCGGATCATGCCAGAGCATTCTGTACCCTTCACAGAGATCAGAGACTCCCATCAAGGTACTTTCCAACAAGCCCTCCCCTTTGGCTCTCGCCCTCTTTCCATCACTGGCTTTCTGCGTCATCACGTCCCATCAGCACCTACTGTCCTCCGGCCCGATAACCTCGGGAAGACTCTCGTTCACAAGGAGCTCGGCACTATTCATCGCAAAAACCTAATCCTCCACGGTGTGGTGAAGGTATGGTCGGGTTTGTAGCAGATGTGGCGGGAACAGCTGGGCAGCTCGGGTGGAGATCAACCCAGGACACAGCTGAGCCCCCCCCCCCCCACCCCCCTCTTGTTGTGCAAATGCCTCCCCACACACATTCCCGATACCACCCAATGCCCACAGTGACCAGTAGTGTGCACGGCAACGCACACAAGCAGTGCTCTGATCAATGCCACTAGAGATGCATCTATTTATACCTCGCCTATGCTCTTTTCTGACACACACACACAAGCTCAATGACTAATCTCTCCCAACTGTCACCCAACTCGTCTCTCCTTAACATCCCCTCTTTCCCCTTTTCTGTTTTTCTTTCACCCTCTCTGGGCCTCCTGAGACACGGAGCGCCCCAGGTCTCTGGGCCCTTTGAAGAACTCCATGAGTCTGGGCTTGACCGGCGGCAGGTCTCTCGTGATCTCGTCCACGCTCTTCTTGTTGGGGCAGGCGCCGTCCGGGGTGAGGAAGGGCGGCAGGTCCTCCCCCGCGTGCGGGGCCCCGCGCCCGAGCCGGACGCCCAGCTCGGCCGGGGTGAAGATGGGCAAGGGGAGAGTCTTTCTCTTTGGCAGCAGCTGGTGCTCCCTCGCCCCTCTTTCCACGGTACCCACTCTGAAGACGCCGGAGGGACAGGTCTGCCTCAGCGAGCGGGCCCGCCACTGCCGGGACAGTGTCTCCCTGCGCGAGTCGTCACTCTCGTTCACTGTCTGCCTGCGGGAATTCGAGGAAAGTCGTTAGAAACCGTGGGAGCTCCTCCGAGTCAGTCACCAACGTCATCGCACCAACCATCCTCCCACATGGGAGCAGGTTTTTACCAGTAATTACCAAGTAGATGAGCAGACGTCCGCCTCACACGATGGTGAGGACGGTTTTTAAATCGCAGCCAGGACGTATTTAGCAGAAATAGGTTTGTTTTTTTCTTACCACTCATAGTGAGAGACACCACACTGAGGGGATGCTTCTTTTATAGAATGTCTCACCTGTCCTGCGGTTGCGTCTTGAGGCTGACGCTGTGCCAGTCGGCGCTGTAACTCTCCCTTTGAGCCTTGTTTTCCTCCTGCACGCTGCAGGTCAGCTCAGCTCTCACCACCACACCGTTACTCTCCTCCACGACGCCACGCGGCGGCATCATCTCTGCTGCGGGAGGACCTGTCGGGGATGTGTCACCTCGAGAGTCGATCTGGTCGATAAGTTCTCTGCGATAAGGCCCGTTTTGTTCCAGGGAACAGGGATGCTTCTGCTCGGCTGCGTGTGTTGTGTCTCCTGGCTCCCACTGTTTCTCGTCCTGCCTCTGTCAATTTGTGCCGTCTCGGTCCGGGGGGCCTCGGCTTCGTCCTTTTATAGACCTTCTGTTGCTATTCGTGCTCGGTGTTGTCACTCTACGATCAGTCTGCGCCGACACCCGACACCGAGCACTCCGTGTGTCTCATTCCCGGAGAGCTGGAAGCCCAGATTTTGAGGAGGGGAGAGATATAATTTGGGGGGGGGAAAAGAAAAAGATGTCCTTATTCTCAAACAACGTGGCCGGTCTTCTATGTAATCAACACTTTCCTCTTCACCTGAGACCGCGGTACCTTTGAGCGATACGTGCCGTAGAGATGGCGTGTGGAGATCATGCACACATGTTGACAGACAGGAGAGGAGCTCTCAACAGGGCTTCGATCTTGATGAACACAAAGCAGCGAGTGACGGGGCATTAATGTGGAAAGACGACAAAGGCGCAGCTGTTTTCCACACGCGGAGCGAGTTTCAGGCAGTAGGTTAAATATTCATGCATCAGAACACAACAGCTCTGTCACAGGGGAGTGAAAAGGTGGAGCGCGAGATGACTTTACGCCGCGGCTCGTCGCGTCCTGCTAACTTTTAAAAATCATAATGAAGTTTTTGCAGCAGCTGTGCCTTGTGACAACATCAAACACCCCTCATTAAATGCCATGGTGCTGTGCTGCACTGAGAGCTCCGTCCCGGTGATTCATTACCTCGGTGACGGAGTGCCACGCGAGCCCCAATCAACTCAGGTTACAGACTGTGAAGCGCACAGACGCACACCGACACACAAACCTGTGACAGTTGTCTGCTGGTGTGAAGTTACTACTGGTCTCTGCCTCTGACTCATTCATCCGTATCCAGTAGTGACATCACCAGATAACAGGGGTCGGATGTCACACACACACACACACACAACATAACATGTAAAGGACCCCGATGACCAGATCGATCGATCAATCTTTCACATTGAAGCCTCCATATCTGTGTCAGTTGTCACAATAATTCAAAAGATCATGGCTACGTTTTTCTTTTTCACCTATTTGTGGCCTGTTTATCGGATGTACCAATTACATGCTATTTTTTCCCTACTTGTCAACGATGTCAATATTTCAATCTCCTCATTGAACATTCAGCTGAACACACGTTACACACATTTTTTCCCCCAGTGTCAAGAGCAAGAGGTCGGCATCTCTTCAGTGGAAACCCAATAAGTCACTACACCCTGCCCCTCGATGCTAAGTGGCTAAGTGTGCAGACTTGATTAGATAGTACACATATTTTGTTTCATTTGGAGGCATTCACCTGCTAAAACTACGTGAGGGGACATGACGATGATGGCTGCCACGTCCTTGCTGTTTTGGGGTGAGTCACGCTGTGCTAATGAAGCCCAGAGAGTGGAGGGTCACTTCGTGCTCATCTGTCTCCACAAACGCATCGGGCCACAGCGGGAAAGACGTTGTGTCGCGCAGCAGCGTTGCCAAAGCTGCCCGGGAAGTGACATTTAAAGATATGGGGAGTGGGAGCGAGGGGGGGGGGGAGTTGGACGGGGGCGACGAGGCACGGGCCGGTCAGCAGTAGGAACATGAGGTATGTTGTGAAAGTTTGAGTCACATGCAGCTTGTTTCATTGCAGCCATTTAAAATCCAAAAAGTTCATTGTATTTCTCATTGATTGTGCACTCAGCACCCCATCGTGACAGAAAACTGGAGGAGTAGAACCATCTCAAGGTGGATCATGGACAGCGAGTTAAATATGACTGTCAGTGTCACAAGGGTCTGAATTCTTATGACCATGTGATTATATATACAGTATATATACAGTACAGGAAATCCTTGCAAATGTATTAAAATTTGCAACAAAAAAAACCATATATATATATATATATATATATATTTTTTTTTTTTTTTTTTTTTTTCAGGTGTTCTTTTTTAATAAATTTGCAAAAATGTCCACATTTGTTTTTTTCTGATGGGATGCTGAGTGTACATCAATGATAAATAAAATTACCTTTTTTCATTTTAGAAAATGGCTGCAATGAAACAAAGTGAATTTAAAATTTAAAAGGTGCTGAATACTTTCTGTACAACTGTATGAATTTGAGAGGATAAAAAAAGTCCTACGCAGTTCAGCTGTTACAAGCACCTGAGGGGAAAGTGAACTTTCCATTGATTCCTGCACACAATCTTCAACATGACACCGCCTCACACCGGCACCTCAGAGTCACGCGTTATCAGTTATGTGAGTGTGTGTTGGTGTGTGGTGAGCGTGTGCCAGCAGTGTGTCTGTCTCATACGACGTCAACAACATCCACTTTAGCTTGCGACCCGCTCCGGTCCCTGCAGGACACCCGGGCCAGGATTCAAGGCGTGTCTGTGGATTGGACTGTGTGGTCACGCTACCAAGGGGACACGCTACAGGCTTCGGACTGGAACTTTATTTCATCACATGTTGGGACACCAGAACAAATCCACAAACGTCTACATGAGCTTAGAAATCGTTCACATTTTCAGTAAATTCCTTTAGAGGAAAAGACACCCGTCACACTTCACCTGAAAGTCCCTCAGTCACATGCACCACTGATTTAAGAGTTACGTCGTATTTCCATCGACTATTTTTTATATGTATAAAGCTACATTTTCGACTTTACATGGTTCAAAGCATCTTTTATAGAATCACACATTCTTACGAGAAAGAATCTAACATGCTGGACTATTTATTCAGATCATATGATTGAATGATATAATCTCCAAGGAACATCGATACCCTGAAGGTTCACAACAGCTGAACAATGAACAGACTCAGAACTTGACACAACTCTGTGGTGAACGAAAAAAAAACAAGATGTAAATGTAACATTTACCAGAAAATCTGCAAGGCCCGTTATGCAAGGTGTGGAGCAGAGAAAACAGAATGGCACTCCCGGGCGGATGACTACTGCCCCCTGCCTCGTGTCCCTCACTACTGCAGAAGTAGGTTCTTAAGCTCCGCCGCTCGCGTTTCAATCGTCTCTCTCGCTCTCTTCGTCGTCTTCAGTGGCTCTCCCGTTCAGGGCCTCCACCCTGGCCAGCAGCAGCGGCAGGTTTATGGCGAGGCCCGGCGCCTCCTCGTCCGAGTCCTCCTTTGGAGGGTAGAAGCGCTTCGCCTTCGCCAAGAAATCTTCAGCCACATCGAGATACAGGAGGCGGTCCTGTGAGGAGGGAGGAGATGAAGAAGAGGTTTAAACAGTTGAGGCGAACGTGTTTATCGGCATGATGTGGGCGTTAATCCCGGGGATCGCTACGGGTTCAAAGGTCACCAGGATTAGCAGATATCTCTCCGGCGGGGGCTCTCGGCTGTAGAAGAGGGACGTCTCGGTGTGGAGCGTGTGGAGCAGCTCGCGTGCTGCTGGGGCGTTACGCATGCCGTCCAGCGAGGCTCCAGCAGACACTCCCAGCAGAGAGTCCGCCTCAGCTATGAAACCTGGGATGGGGGGGGGGGGGGGGGGAAGCCATCTTTGGTCACTCTGCGTGAAGAAAGACATATCGGACCCCAGTCCTCCTCTCTCCAGCATTACCCAAGTTCTCCAGGATTATCTTCCATTTGTCTCGGACTTCTCGCCGCGTGTCTCTCATGGCCTCGATGTCAACACTTAGTCGCCGATAGCCCTGAACAAGAAAGAGGCCAAAGCTTTTAAAAAGAAACCCGAATAACTTTCTCAGGGCTTTAGATGACTCGTCATTTAGTTTTTCTATCGTTTGCACCATTTTGACTCTTCTACACCCAAATCAATAGATTCACCTTTCTTCACACCTGTTTCTTTCTACGGTTGAAGTTTTTTTTTTTGTGGGTTCTTTTTCTCATATCCAGCTCCGGCCTCTCCGATCCACCTCACGTACCGTGGACCCCATGCGGGTCTTGTTCCTGGCCTGCAGCAGGCTGTAAAGCACCCGGTCGTCTGGTCTCTCCGAGTGGCTGCGGTCGCCCGGCTCACTCCACAGGTTGGTCTCCTCGTCGCGGCGCTTCTGGACCTCCTGGTTGAAGTACTCCAACGGATCCGGGCTGCAGTCAGTTAACGAAATCACTTATTGAAACATTTTTTCCACTGTGTTCCACAGGTGAGCAGTGTAATTGAAACCGATACTGGTGTTCTTACGGTACTAAAGGCTGCTTTTCATCATCGTCGCCGTCGTCCGCGACGCAGCAGCAGCAGCAGAACCTCCTGAAGACCGAACCCATCTAGAGGCGGTGGGTTGTGCGGCTCCTCAATGGTCGATAATTTAAGCCGGTAATCTTTTTCTTTTACCGCAGATCAACCTCCTTGGTTCATCGAGCCTCAGTCGAGCTGATTCCAGTGGAGGGTTCTGATGGAGCCCAAAACACCTGCGTCCCAGCGGATGGTTCCTTAAAGGAGGCGACCTTTCTCACAACCTTTGTTGAAAAGTAAAAGATGTGGCAGAGTAAGGAGAGGCAGCTGTAAAAACAGGAGCAGGAAGAGCAACAAGTCTAAAAAGTTACAAACAAAAGGTCACGGATCTCCAGACTCGACCTACTTCTCATTCTCCCAACTGGAGGTCCCAGCACACGGCTCCACGTCCTGCCGAGTGATCCGGGGCGTCCGGGCGGAGACGCTCAGGCAGACGGCAGCCGGAGGACTGACTGGTGCTTCTCCTCCGCCGCACATGGAGAACAATGAGACCAGTGAGACACACAAGTTCACAGAGCCTCAGAAGACGGTCACAACAGGATCATGTGAGCCGCTCCGTGTCCTGTCCCAAGCATCGCGCCCCGAGGACAACACAACAGGAGGCCTGATATTCAATATACCACGGCTCCATTTGTTTAAGGCTTATCCAACGGCCCGGTCATGTGCTCACTGAGGTTATTTATACGTGGATCTGTACAAGGATTAAAAGAGAATTGTCGGGTTGCTTTCGGTTACCGGAGTTTTGTCTTCTTTTTTAAAAAAAAGTCTGCATTATGAACTTGTTACCCGGGAAAACTATAAAGCACCTAGGCCTATATTTAAAATAAGCGAGTCAGATTATTGGAATCAAATACAACCAACCACTAAATTTGGTTGTAATAATGTTTAAACTACCAAACAGGAAGCGCTCGTCTTTAGCAGCAGCAACCTGAATGAGAATATGATTCTCATATTGATGCTTCAATAATTAAATCCAATAACATACTTTATACTGCACGATAACTTTTATTCTAAGTGTATTTTCTTTTCCACGGTTTCACACGTTAACTAGAGTAATAGTTATAACCACATGTATTACACTGCCTCTCACACAACATTACTAATAATATATCTTTTTCACACAATTCATTTTCCAGATAGTTAACACCTACACGACAGTGACCCTTTGACCTTTAATGAGAGTTGTATCAGTCATGGTTCAGATTTTCCCTTTGATTTTGAATCCAGGCCTTGATGAGTTAAACGTTGCTTCATCTTGTTCTTTACAAATTACACAATGAAGATATCAATATATAAAAGAAAGATCTTAAAACCGACATCGACACATTAATTGTGCGGCCCCATTAACTGTATTTGTGCGATTATTTTCAAGCGAGACACATTCTACATCACTTGCTGTAATTGATTCACAATGAGGGAACGAATAAATAATCAGATAGCGCACATCAATACATCCGTACAAATTAGATACCAAGTATAAATAAATGAAGCTAGAGGTCTATAACAACTGTTTGGTTTGTCTGCAAGTCAAATTAGACCAGAAGCTGCAACGCTGATATGTTCATAGATTTTATTAGACATAAGACACTGGTTAAGACTTAAAAAGTGGTGATCAGTATTCCTATGATGGATTTAAATTAACATGTTGGATCAATATTCCATAGACTCATTTAAAGTGTTGTAAAAAATATATTTTTAAAGAAAACCAGTACTCTCTGCAGCCTTCATATACATACAGTACAGTGTGTGTTAAGCATTGATTCAACAGTATGAAATACATGTAGAGCAGAAGAAAAGGCTGACCTGTAATGTCACATGTGGTAAAGGCACCAAATTGTTAATAACATAAATTTCATTTGAAATTCTCTGAGCACAGTAGGTCACTAAAATGACTCAAATCTACTGTTAAATCTCAATGTCCACTTGTCTTGGACATGGACTGGAACAATAACAACCAGATTGTGATGTCATCGTTCACACCTAACTGGGTTTACTAAAGTAAAACGGGCGTGTTGGGACAGTGATGTGCTGAAGGACCACATCTGCATCAAAACCTCACAATTACACCGGTGAGTCGAGGAGGAACGAGTCTGCTGCACTGCCCCCAGATCTACACCCGCCCCGCGATGTAACGCTTCATCGGTACTTCCCTGGTCACCAGACAGGCGGGCTTTCTGTAATCCTGCAAAAAGAAAAACGTTACCTCCTCGACGGGGCCGAACTTCAGGAACTCAGAAGAACTCAAAGTGAATCGCGACCACGTGACTAATAACGCGCCGGCCGTTTCGCCGGAAGGCCTCCAGAGGTCATCAGCACCAAAGAGAACAAAGTATGCGCCGACCTACGTGGTGAAGCCCGTCGCCATTGGTCTTCTTCGGGAGTTGGATAATTCCTTTAGCACACAGAGTAATTAAGAGCTGCCTTTGTTAGCGCCGGACTCCCAAAAGTACAAAACAAAAGCAGTATTTAAAACCCTCAGTAAACTTTGTTAACTGATTTCTGCTGCCTAACGCAGTCGGACTGTGTGTGTGTGTGTGTCAGTGGTCTCCATCTAGTGGTAATTGGTCTGCAGGTGACTCCCCCCCCGCCCCCATCTATCACTGTGTAGTGAAGGAGAATAAAGTGTGGAAATCAACCAAATCAACCTACTAAAATGGTGCTGTCAAAACAGAGAAAATAAGCCAAACAAGAAACTAAAGCAAAAGAATTGACGGCGAACCATTCGTGCAGTGCGACAAGACCCAGAGGGACAGCTGCTTCTGGGCGCAGACCTCCTCCCCGTTTTTCTGGTTCCAGCCACAAGACGGCTTCCGCAACCAGGAAGTTCTGATTGCACGGCGAAAACATGGGTGTGCACGCAGTTAAAAAAGACAAAAAAAAAAAAAAAAAAAAACACACAACTACAAACGGCGCGGCCTTTGCCTTTGAAATCTGAGAGACGTTCGAGTGGTCACACGTCTCCTGTGATAAGAAGTCACGGTGGCGCGTCCCCTCTCGGGCGGAGGGCACCGCGTCCACGTGGGAGTAAACGGTGGTGGAGCGTCGCCACCTGTCCCGGCACAGCTGGACTCCTCTGCTTTAAGTGTGGTGATGGTGCTGCTGGTGGTGGTGGTGGTGGTGGTGGGGGGGGCGGAGAGAGGGCCGCAGGTCGGCGATCCGTTGGCGTAAATGGGACATGAATTCAAACATGGTGGCGGCCAGACTCTGATGGATGAGGTAGCGAGGCAGTCGGCCCTGTCGAGACACAAAGCGCCGGCATTGATTCGGGTCACGGTGTGTTTTTAATGGGGTCAGGGTCGTACGAGTGTCTAATAGGGTCGTACGAGTGTCTATTTAAAGTCATGCATTCGTCTTCTATTTCCTGGTGTCATTTTTAGCCACCTTAGCGGCATCATCACTTATCCTTCACAGCTAATGATTACGATTTTTTACTCCAAATTTCTTTTAACGCCACACTTGAATGAATTCAGTTCGCTCCGTCACATTGTCATCAGCTGTTCAGCAGCTCACAGATGCATTCGTCTCAGTGTGCACTACAATGCAGAGGTCAGCGCTTGTCTTTAATAGAACTGTGTTACTAGCTTGTTGTATAATCACTGAAGTCATGATTTAACCGCCTATTTGTTCTCATCTCATTCGATGTTCTGCATCCACAACAACAACAACAACCCCTTTTTCTAAATTCAGACTTTTACTGATCTTCAAGGCGAAAGTGATCCGTCTGGCTTTGAAGGACACAACGTGGATGCCTAACTGCATCTCCTCACCTTCAAGTCTGTGTTCAGGACCCAGATGAAGGTGCAGACGGACGGGTTGCTGCTGGATTTGAGGACCACAAATCCTCCCGGACCGTTCTCTCCTCTGAGGCCGAGGACAAAAATGAAGTTAAAAAAAAAAAAAAAGGTAAAAAGGAGAAGAAAAAGACCTTGAAGAAAACGGGCAAACACGACTGCACTTTTTGTCCGAGTTGAGGACCACGCTCTGACCTGACGTAGCGGCCGACGGGGGGCTTGGCGTCATGGTCGGTTGCCATGCCGGCAGACAGGTAACAGTCTCGCTTGCGCTCCACTCGACGAACGTTAACAAAGTCCCTGAAGGAAGAGAAAATCCATCAAATCAATTCACTTCAACTTCAGAGCAGCCAGATTTTAAAAAAAAAAGGCCGGAATAGTGACGGAGGGGAAGCGGCAGGTTGCTGATGTACCTCGCCGAGACAACGCCGCCTGCTGCTCCGGACGACACGTCGTACGATACCAGCGTGTTGTCGTCGACCCTCTGGAGGATCTGAGGAGAGGCCAGAGGAGCCCCGTTAGGACCCCGCCACAGCACGATGACACAATTCAATTTAAAAAAGACGCCAGGGAGGCAAGTGAAACCACGTGAAAGTTGTTCACCTGGCAGCCGGAAACCGTTTTGTTCCACTGGACCATCTTCTCGGGTTGCAGAATCACCTCTTGATACACGAGCTCAGCAGTGCACTGCATGAAGGCCTGCGCCGAGACAACGACGCACAAGCGCTTTCAAAAGGCCCGCGATTACATTTGTATTTACTCATGTAACCTCTTATGAGAAGGTGAGTCACGAGCCTTTCGGAGCTGAGCAGCAAGTTGCTGTTGGCTACATTAACCGAACAGAAGGAGCGTCTGTGTACGTGTGCGTTTCGGAGTTCCTGTCGCCCAACAACATCTTTAGAATCAACACGCTGTTCTAGGTAATAAATTAACATTAACAGAACGGCCATTTAAAAACACAGCTGTCTAGGAGAATAAATATGAATTTGTGTTGGTCGTGACTCGGCTTGTTTATCGTTTGCAGTAATAACCTCAGATGTTACAGTGGTATTAGTTTGGAAAAACCCTTTGACAGCCCTCAGTGAGACTGAATGACGGGTTAAACGGTTAAAGAACACTTTGCTGGTGGCCTGCCGTGACTAAACATGAAAAAACAAGCACACTGTTAGGAGTCTAAATAGAGTCATTTGGATCACTAATGGATCAAGTCTCTTAGTGAGACGATGCGTACACACAGTGCGGAGGTACCTTCAGAATAAAAGTCTTTCCATGGAAGGGGATCTCCAGTGTGTAGACGGAGTCTCCCACGTCCTGACGCAGAACAAATGCTGTTAGTACTTTCTCTTTCACTTCAGTGTATCTACGGAAACCTACATGAAAACAATGTTTCTGGGGGTGAACTTTTTTTTTTTAATATTAAAGAAGTTTGCCATTTTCAATGTCAACGCATTTCTATTGGTCCACATATACACCAGCGTATCTGCAACGTGCGAACATGCATGTACGAAAACAGAAACTCTTTGTCTCTGCTGTGTGAAGAGAAAGCAGCGCGTCAGCAGCTTCGCTCATTTCGGGTCGTGTGTGTGACCAAAGGGGACGAGGAGCCACTTCTCCATCGGAAAAGGCACATTTTGCTGAAGTTAAAAAAATCCAACACTCACATTGTTTTTTTCAAACTTCCAGTTGTCCTCCTGGGCCAGGATCTGTTCTACCACCGACATGGCCTCCCGACCCTGACTCACGTACTCCTTGTCCTGCAGCGAGAGTGACGGGGGGGAAAACAAGAAACGGTCACTGTTGGCGGGGAGCACATGGTCTCCTCAGGCCGATTCAGGTACCTGTGACGTGACGGCTCTGCGTCCAAGACCCTCCTCATCCAGATCCTCCTCGGAGCCTGCAGGAACAACACCAAGTGAGAAGCGTTCAGTAGAAATGGAAAAGACGCAGCCCCACAAAAGGGAAAAGCGCGGAGACGAGCGAACGTCACCTGCGACGGACTCCGGGGGAGAGTAAAACTGTCCGTCCGAAACCGCCCGGGGGTAGATCATTGGGGTGCGCTCGCAGGACGCGTTCACCGCCGCCAGGTAGGCTGGTGTCGGAGGTGAGAAGATTCAGGACGATTTCAGGAGAACGATATTTTGGACGGGCGACACGCTCCCGCATGTGTGGTGATATGGCGGCCTCACCTCTCTCGTCGTCGGCCTCCTGGGGGAGCACCTTGAAGTCGAGGAACCAGGTCTCCAGCCAGGCCACCACGAACGAAGTGATGGGGATCACGTAGCCAAAGACATTGTGGGAGAGGAGCTGCGGGGAGACAGAAACCACGTCACACGCTGCACGAGACAGAAGGTACTTCAGCGCCATAGCGAGAGTTCACGATGGTTCCTTTCACCGTCGTTGGAGATTACAAAAAAGGAAGCAGTGCTTTATGATCACGCCTGTGATCCTCATGTGCGATATCAAACATTAGAATCACGAAGCAGCTCATCGCATGCAGAAGTGAAAAGGTCTTTGTGGTTTTGGATGTGATGCGCTTGCACCACCGGTGCAACCAACCGGTGATACCCAACTGTGCACGGAGGGCGACACTCACACTAGATACGATGACCTTAACAACCAGGAAGACGCTGGTCACTAGAGTGGTAACCTGGGGAGGAAGGAGGATTTGGATTTGTCTTTATGTCCACACCTGGCATTAACAAGACACAACGTTGTTTCATCAGTGTGCGCTTTGTGACTTACCGCGATTACCCACCAGTGCTTCAGCCGAAACGCCGCGTAACCCACTTGTAGGCACAGGAAACGAAACACGGCCAGCAGCTGATGGGGGGGGACAGAAAGAACAACGACCATGTGACCTTATCGCGTGGTTCTGACGGCTGTGTGAAAACATCAGCCTATGAAGATACAAAAACAGGCGGGTTGTGCCACTTACGAAGATGTCAAAGAAGGACGACTTGTAGTCATAAAGGACCACCTCAGTCTTCAAGCTGTCCCAGAGTGAGATGGAGAGCTGCAGGAGAACAGAGTCTTCATCAGAGTCACAACACGCGCGCACAACACCCGTCCGTCCGCCCGTCCCGCCGAGCCGGCGACGCAAACTCACATTCAGCTCAATGATCCACAGGAGGGAGATGAAGAGCAGGTCGAACGTCACAAAGAGACAGAAGGTTCGCCGGACGTCAGAGATGGCCTGGCGCTCCGCGGGGGGCACCAGCAGGTACGGGGAAGGGAGGGACAGAGACGTAGAGTAGGACGTGTTCAGGGAGGCGATGGCGGGGAGGCTGCCCCCGAGCTGCCTGAAGCCTCCACCCGACATTCCTCCAGTCAGACAGGAAACTCCCCCTGCTAGAAGAGAGGCAAAGCTTTCCTGGATTAACCCCCAGACACGTGTATCTACTCTACGATCAAAACACTGATATTCTAAATCTCGGCATCCAGTACGCATGTTTGGATCTATCTCGTCTTGATCAACATCTGGATTTCTAAACCACGTTGCAGCAGAGAACGGTTGCGCCACATGTATGTAGATAAGACCGTTGTTTTAATTATAATTTTATTATATTATTATAGTAATGTTGTATTGTATTAGTGTGTCTGTGGGTATATTTATGCTCTTGCTGATCGTTTGATTTAAAGAAGTTTCTGAGGTCAACACGGGACTGAAGATACGACCACAGCTTTTTATCAAGCACATGTATTGTCAGCACTGGGGAAGTTACTCCAAGCACTTTGTCATCGGATTTTGGGGAAATCAATGCGTGCGAACAGGAAGAGGGTGAAGAAGTGTCCGCACAGTGAACCAGTCGATGCTGAGTGAGTTTCAAAGTCTGCTGGACTGTTTGCCGGACAACTAACTTCAAGTAAACAAGCATCACGAGGCGTTACATGGACGGAGACTGCCCCCACCAGCGTTTGCATGGGACATCTTTAAATCTGTGTCATTCAGATTCACGTCACATTTTGTTTGCAGGGCTTTCGGACCAACCAACCCCCCCCCCAAAAAAAGAAAAGCTTCTTAGAAAAAACAGCACTTCAGAATCTGTCAGAGAAGCTAACAAGCTAACGCACCCCTGTCAGGCGACACAGGCGGAGAGCGATGACCCGGGTCGCTGGCGCACTCTTGTAAACAAACCCCGGTGAAGCCGCTGCGCTAGCAAGCTAACGAGCCCCTGACGTCCCCTCTCACGGTTAGCTTAGCTTAGCTTAGCTTAACGTCACACCAACTTGCGCTGGGTCGAAGTTAAGTGACACCGTGATAATCTCACACACACACACACACGTCACGTCTCAAGTGAACAGCTACAGGGAATTGCGCTGCGAAACAAAAAAATGTCGTCAACCCGCATCTCATCGTTTCGTTAAAAAAAACAATACAGCGTTATTAAACTTACCTGATTTATCATCGTCGCTTAACGTTACCAGTCTTCCGGGCTGACCCTTCAGAGATTAAATGTTGCGGCGAGATGGTTCACTCCTTCGTTTCAACGAGCCAAAAAAATCACTTGCAAAACTGTATCTGTCTGTGCTGAATACTATACGGAAATATAAAATACAACACAATATAAGACTAGAAGAGTCACACGTACCCAGGCTTCCTTAACCACCCCAAAGTTACCGCTTGTTAGGATCAAAATCTGTGCTGACCGTTAACTTGCCGAAGAGTAAAGTCAGACATAAAAAATACTGGACACGTACAACAACTTCCGGTAAGAACATTCAAAATAAAACTTTCAAAACGTGTAAATACTGGTATGTTTGTAATTTAAATATCACAATATGAAAAAAAAAAATACTCCAACGACGACAGTGGTTCGAGTATTTATTGAAATGCCATAGCAGGTTGGACGCATCAATACCTCAAAGGACCGAAGAGATAATATTATAGCTATAATGTTTTACAGTATTACGTATTCTGTAAACATTAAATGTTATATTTTGAACTAGCCCAATGTTTTATTTAGAGATTGAGATTTCATCCAGATCTGGTTAACTAATAAAGAGTTTACCATATTCTATAGAGGTAGCATTATTAACATATGTCTCGTTGTTTTACAGTGGAAAGGTAGATTATTCCCACTTACTTGGCAGAAGACTGAAGTTAAGATAAAAACTAAGTGTGATCAAGCCACAGGTCTTTTGAGGATTTCAATGTTGTTATTTTATGATGACTTAAACGTTTTGTACTTGTAGTGCTAATGAGCAAGTGAATGTCTTAAAAGCACCAGAACTTGTGACTGAAGAGAGATGTTGCAGCATGCAAATGACTGAAATGATCAAATTTACATACCGATCTGTTTAAAGGGGAAAGAGGAAAAAACTGTTTATTTTGATAGTATATTGTTGCTCACTTTATAACAACCACATTACATTGAGAAACAAGAGAACAAAGAAAAATGAAATAAAAAATGAAGACAGACTAAGCATTGGAGTTCATACATGTCGTTCCATGGTTGTTTTCTTTTGACCCAGATGGAGAGCTGAGGTGAACAGAGAGCGGAGGAGGGAGGACACCGTTGGCTGTCGCGTCCAGTCATCCCATTATTTAGGCAGGTCAGGGTTCAAAGTTTCACACAGTTTATATATAGATAAATAAACTGCAGCTCAAATGATACAAACAACAAGATCTACTCGTCACTTCAGTTAAACCGTAAATTAAATGAGTTATATGCCCACTAAAAGCAAAAAAATGTATTAATTGTTGTTAACTAAAAAAAAAAGAGAGAAAATCTGTGGTAGAAAATAAAACTTCAGAAGATTTGTGCAGTGACCATTTGGCCCAAACGTCAGTCATTAACCGCAGACAGCAGACAGTGGAATCATGGACAGCGCTACGCTACTCAAACACTGGACATTAGATTAGAAAAATAGCTCTCACAACAGATCCATGGTGTACGATTAAAAAGATGAAAATAGAAAATGGTTAACATACAAAAGGGAACGAATTAGCATCAGCAAACCCCCAAAAAGTCATCAGTATTGGATTAGAAATCACATTTTTTTATTCCTTCACACGTTGTCTGTTCACAATGAATCCAGTTTAAATAGAGGCCACAGTTGAGCTTTGTTAGTCAAACTAATTAGAGGTAGCTTTTCCCTTTATATATTTGTTCATAAGCATTCTGTGGTGTGAAATAACCACATACATACACTCACTTGCTCATGGATTGGACACAATTACAGGAAAAAACTTTGGGGTTCTTATACTGAGTCTGACTTAAAGTGATACTCCAAACATTGTCTTACTTAAAACATATATTCACTTTTGTAATGTAACTAACAGGCCAAATAAATGAGATGATGTTCTAGAAACGCTCTGAAAAAGATTCTACGGGTGTTTTCATACTTTCAAATACCTTGGATATTTGAAAAAAATAAAATGAAAAAAGTTCCTCAAGCCATCAAGACGTACAGGTTACAATCCATAAGATTTTAGTGTGTGACCATTTAGCACAACTCTGATCAAGTTTTGTATTAATGGAGAGTGAAAAGTAAACAGTTGAGTTGATATCAATGAGACAAAATTTAAAACCAACTTGACTCCGCCCCTAAAGATGAAATCTGCGGTATTGAGCGATAATTCTAGAATCGAATTACGTTGAGAAAATGTTGACCATAACAAGCATTACACCTTTATTAAATATTACAATTGTAAGTGATTGTTTGGAGTATCACTTTATATTCTGATCAAAGGTCTTCCACCAGGTGGCGGTGCATGTGCACTTATCTTAACCGCACAAATCAGAACAGAGATGTTCTTTTTAAAATAAAGTGTAGAATTTATCACACAAAGACTTTCAAACATTTTAGAAAAAGGTTGTATGCGTTAAAAAGAGTTGATGAGTATGATTACTGTGGAACTATTACCCCCTTTAAAGGAAAACGTAGCTCTGTGCAGACGCACGAAGGTAGAGAGGACTGGCCTGCAGGGTATCTGGTCATGTCGACCTCGTTGGCCCCTCTCAGAACAAACAGAGGTCTTCAGGACCTGTAGGGTCTGTAGCTCACTCCTCACTTGCTCATACGGGCTGACTGCTGACGCACAAGCTGCCTCTCTGTTCTCTCTCTTTCTCTCTTTCATCCCCCGCTACCTTCAATCTTCAGAGGTGAAGTAGTGCAGAGATCTCTGCTCGCTCTCATGTTGGATTTCACTGAAGTATCTCTCTAATCCTCACTCGTCTAAGCGCGTCCCCTAAGCAGCACAGACTCGTTTCCTCACCTCTTCTGAGATCTTTGGATTTTAACCATTCCACAAAACACCTTCACTCTCCCCAGTTCTCCCGACCCGCCCTCTCTCTGTCTCTCTCTCTCTCTTTCAGTTACTCCCTCGGCTATTCTCCTCGGCCCTTTCTTGGATTCGATCTCCTTCTTCTTCATCCTCTTCTTCCTCTTCCTCTTCCTCCTCCTCCTCCTCCTCCTCCTCCTCTTCCTCCTCCTCCGGTGCTGCTTGGATCTGCTTTGCCGTCTCTCTCACGCTGGAAAACCTGACTGAGTGCTCGGTGGTCGCCGTCTCTTGGTGATCTGAGTAAACAAAGGCCGATGTCAAAGGAAGCAGAGAAATCATGACGCTAAACCTCAACAAAAACACCAACTATTTAGATTAAGTAATTGTTTTAAAATAATTTTCTGAAGCAAAACACACAAAATTCAGCAAAATTCTATGCAAATAATTGAAAATAAGTAATTACGTGGAGACCTAGTTGATAGTTTGGAGAAGAATAGACTTTAATAAACATAAATGTCTGTTTTTCTCTTAATGTGTTGATCTGACAATGAAATAACTCGTTTTCCTTAGTTTGTCTTCTGCCCGTTATAATACAGGCTGATGGATCGCAGAGGAACTGTAATCAAAATACCAAATGTGAATCTCTCTTGCGGTTACGTTTTGTTTCAACAGAGGGGTTTATTGAGTGAGGCCGTCATCCGGGCAGACGGAGCAATAATTCTGTACTGAAACGCCACTCTCCTCATGTGATGTAATGGAGAATTATGCAACATTAAACAAAAAAACCCAGGGGTTTGCTTGTGCAAAATGAAGTTCCCTTCAACTTCAAATGTGTTTTGATGGAGAGGAAACTAACACCAATATTATGTTGCAGCACATAACTAAGTCTCAGTCAAAAGGCACCCTGAATACAAAATGATAGAGAAAACAAATGAGAGAGGACAGTGTGGGCTTGTTAGTCCTCTCTGTGTGACACTATGAGACACTACGGGACACTACGGGACCCTATGGGACACTGTGGGACACTGGCGCTGTCGTTTAACGCTGAGAGCTTCATCCGTGAGCTTCATCCTGCAGAACACTGCAGAACTCTTAGAGAAGAGCATCTCTGCTCGTTCAGAAGCAACAGGGCCTCATATTAAATGTGTCAAGGGAGCTCACTATTTCAGAGGATCTGCATGTTTCTACTTTACGGCTGTTTTTCAGCCCCCTTGCACGTCCACTATTCTTTCATTATTTGTAAAATGCAGACTTGACCGTCCGGCATTAGTGGCACCTAAAAAATTGTAAAAATAATTCTGGTGCAAATGTCCCGAGTGATAAGCAGAGAGTTATGTTTTGTATTTCCTTAAATGAAAACTATGAACTTGAAAGAGAAAGAAACTTTGACTTGGTTTGTGTTGACACGCAATGCAATACTGTATGTTCCTGTTTTTCTCACTGGTGAAGATTATCATCGAACGGAGTAAAATAAGTCCTGAGGAAAGATCCCTCGTCCCATGCTTGGATCTCTCGGGATACTCACCTACAGCTGCAATAGTTAGATGTGCAATCCTTAAAGTATGTGAAGTATTAGCAGACTCCACTTAAACATTAAAGAAAATGGGCAAGCAAAATGAAAAATGCATCTTTAGATGCTCATATGAACAGCATGCACAGCATAAAGGTTATCATTTGTATGTGGAAGGGACGTGTTTTTATACAGCATGACCCTGTAGGACATTTTAGGACACGTGTGGTCCTGGTTGCTTCTTGTGTGCTCAGTGTTGCTGCTGCAGCCCGTTGACAGAGAGTCTCTCTCTCACCAGCAGCATCGATGGGAGATGTGTCCTCTCCCTCCTCTCCCTGCCAGTGGTCCCCATCCTCCTCCCCTTCACAGGGGTCTTCCACAGGGGGGTAGACACCTAGGTGCTGCATATGTGCTTCGGCCATCTTCTGCACAGCTACAGGTAAGACCGCACGCACAGGGAGACAACCACACAGAACACATGGACGCAGGGAAACAGGGATGTCTTCTTGTGTTTTTTACCGTGCTTCCACACTGTTCGGATTTTAGGCTCACAGCTGTTTTTGAAGCCAATTAAACACATGCACTGACAGACAGACAGACGGACAGGCAGGCAGACAGACAGGCAGAAAATTGGCACCCGACTCGGATTTCTTTTGAGCACGCGTGCTTTTCCATCCCTTCTCTGCTCCCTGCTCTCTAATCTGTTTGTTTGCGGCCTCCTCGCCGCTCTCTTGGCAGCGCGGATTCAGGCTCCTCTCTCTCTCGCTCTCTCTCTCTCTCCAGTTACACTCTGAGGTGACACCTCATCTCCCCCCTCTCGCTTCTCCCGGGTCACCTTGACTCCTCTCCCTCACACCCTCACACCCTCAGCCGACGCAGAGCGCCACCGAGGCAGCTCACTGATTCACATATTCCAGTTCACTGTAGGTTATAGAATTAGAAATGATTCTGAGGTATCTCTCTCTCCCCCTCTCTCTCTCTCTCGCCCTCTCTCTCCCTCCCCCTCTCTCCTTCTGCGTAGGAGCTGCAGAAGGAGAGATTTCAGACGCAGGAACGAGGCTTCCTGGCTCATTATATCATCGCTCCACATGAATCCCCATGAAATGATGCTCCGCTGATTACGGGCTCGGTAATGCAGATATTGTGTTGACTCTCCGTTAACGGGCACATGCAACACGCAGGAGGCCACAGGGCACGACAGTAAGTCACAAAAGAAAAAAGTGCATGTTTGTGTTGGTGCATTTCCATGCTGCCCACACGTGTGCGTTCATTCCCGTGTGCGTGCGTGTCCGTCACAGCTGTATACACCATCGGCCGTAATCCGGGATGATCCAGACTTTCCTAGACTCACACTTAGTGTCTCACAGCTGTCACACTCTAATCTCCCTCTTTCTCTTTCAGACACACATTTGCGAATCAGGCTGTGTGAGTGTACAGTAAAGAGCAGAAACACATGGAAACATGCTCACATGTAACTGCATGCCGGTAACACTACGTGTCACGCATGCAAAAAGGGGATGAAATACAGGCTTTTAGAGCGCGTTAACCCATCTGTCACATGCACTTTTATCCCATTTGTCGCCGCTGTCATGAAGCATAGAGAGCGAGGAGGAGAATCGACTGCTGCGAAAGCACGGTAAAGCACAAAGGACGCAAACACGAGGACAAATCACGACATGCGACCGCCACCTGTTGTACTGCTCACCGTACCTCTGAGTGACGGAGGCTGGTACACGTTTGGATTGACACGTTTTGGTTTGAGCACTCCGTTCTCTCCCACGACCCACTGCAGAGAGAGAGAGACATCCAGTGATTCAGAACTAGAATACAATAGAAATGGGTCAAAGTCATTAGCAAAACAATTCCGATAATTCTTTATTCAGGGAATTGCTTTTAGTGTATTTTGTCTACAAGGATATTGTTTCAATTGCTTATTGTAATTTGTCGTAACAACCCTTGATCACACTTGTGTAAATTGTAGCATCCTTATGAAGTAATAACAGGCAATAAGCACACACGGTATCCTGACAAATTCACATTTCAAATGAAAACCTTCCAGATTTCACACATCAGGTCATAGTCACTCCGTGTGCTCGAGTGCTGTATTTGCCTCCTTAGGAGTTCATATTTACTCCAAGTGCTGCCTGACAAACCTAATTCTTCACCGCAAAAGTTTTTACCACAGTTCTTATTTTGGCAAACGATTTACTGTACTCTTACTGTATTCTTCTGACTTTCTTTGGTAATTAAGAATTTTGATCCAAGGTGAAGAACAAACCTTTAAGCTCCAGGAATTTAAAATGCTTAAAAGTTTGAATTCAGATTTTTTTGCGGGGGTTTGAACATGGAGACTTGGTGAGGATTGACACATCAGAGAAAGTGTTAAACAGAAAAGTGTTCAACAATAGAAAACACAGCCTTAGTTTGTTCAACAACTCTAAAATGAAGGTGACTTTTTAATTCCTTGGATAGAGTACAGATGAGGATGCACAGATACTTAATAAAGAAAAGTGTTCTGACTTCACCTTTACCTGATGGGTGGACTGATCATCGTCGGGAGAGGATTGGTCGGCTACTCTAAATAGTGTGGCAGGCGTTGGCCTCCTGCGTCGGATCTGTGAACAAAACACACACACATACACACATCAGCCATAATTAGATGAATAATTAACCAGGCCGGCGCAGCATCATCAATAAAGGCATGTTATTTAGAAGAGAAAGTGGAATTCATGCTTGTTGCGCAAGTGTCAAATTAGCCCCCATTTCAGAAGTACGAGGACTGAACGACCTCTTCACACACAAAAGTGTGTGTGTGAGTGAGTGCGCTCCATTTCCCACTATATCCCTCCTCCTAAAAGAGGTATATAGTGCAAAAAATGATTTCAGACTATAAATGAGTCCCAGCAACTGGCCCGGACACTCCCTTACCCCCCACCCTCACCCCCCCACACACACACTACAGTCTCCCTCTCAAACACACACTGTTCCCCCGTCGGCTCCGGACAGATCGCTGTCGCTGCGAGAGCAGACGACCGGACGGACTCAAGTCCTTGTGTACAGCACCTCTGTGTCCTCGCGGGGACAAGTACGATGCTGTGCCGCCTCAAGCCCACCGACGTCCCGCCCGGCCTATCGCACTGCACTTATGCAGTTTGGCATCGCTCCTCACAACCCCTTGGAGGCTGATGTCACTTTAAACTATTTAGAGTGTAAAGCACTCGCCCACTTCAGAGTTGGAAGGAACTGAAAGAGTTTATACCGCCAACTACTTCACGACTGTATTTTGGTAAAACAATATAAGACTAAGACAAGAAGAGTTTTAACAAGAAAGTTTGAATTAGTTGGATATGTCAATGTATATTTAAAATGCATTTGGGCCTCGGTAGAATGTGTGGGGCCCGTGCTTCATAAATAAGATTCACACGCAGAGAGTTTCAACCAAAATAAACGCAATGCCAGAGGATTAATGGCCGACACCTACAAAACCTGTAGGAAAAAAAGGAGGATAAAATGAGGTGTGCTGAGAGTAAAAGCAGCGCAGCTAAGTAGACTTGGCGAGTCAGACAAGTGAGGTATTGAGTGTCCTCTGTGCAGGAAGCCAACCTTGGCCACGGCCTGAACCCGCGGGTGCTGTTTACGGCACAGAGTGAAACAGGCCGGCTCTATTTTGTATTAAACTGGTCCATGCAGAAAGACACAGGTCGGTGTTCGCTCTGCCTGCGTCTCGTTGAGCTTCGTGTGCGTCATTGAAGTCGGGCACATGTTGCCAAAGCAGAGGCTTGTCGGGCCTTCAAAACGCAACCACACAAAGTAAACGAGTGTGGATGTTGTCGTTGTTCACGGCACCAGATACACGTTTTAATCTTGTCGCACGACTCCCAGCTGTCCCGTCTCCCCCCCCCCCCCCCCCCCCGCCCCCCCGGATTGACACTCGTTCTCTCATTCACCTCTTCATTTCCATCTGCCTTGATCGTCTGCTTCCTCCGTCCTATTTACTTCCTTACACATCCGTCATTCCTTGACGGTGACATTTCCCTCACTTCTCTCATAACTCAAATCAATCCCTTCCCTTCCCCCGCCGAGGTGTGACGGCCTGGGGCTCCGCGCTGTGTGTGTGTGTTTGTGAGGGGATGTGTAATCATCCTGGTGGTCTTGTGAAACACAAACAAGGAATATGAAAAAGGTTTGTACATGAAAGTCAATATACACAAATGTATTTAGGCAAAGCAAAAGGTGCATCTGTCTTGTAAGGAAACACACAATGTGCGACATGATACTTTGTGACTCTGGCGATGCCAGTTGACATCTGCACACACAGCGATGTGGTAATTTTCCAGCTTTAAAAACAAGCCCACTGGACCAAAGTTACATAACACGTATGCGACTTCCTCATTCACGATGACACTGGGGCACAGCGTGCCAGATCACTCCCGCTACGCATTATCTCTCGCCCCCTCCTTCCTCCGCTTCGCTAAACCCCCCTGCCCCCCGACCCTTCCAACCCCCCCCCCCTCCCCCTCCCCCCGCCTCCCTCTGCTGCCAGCCATTGTTTATGTACTAAGATGTTGTGGACTCGCTCTGAGGGGCTGCGAGCAGGCCGCTGCCGTGGCCTTTCAGCGGCTCCACAGGTGCGCGCCCGCAGGCGGCCCCCCAGGAGGGAGCAGCACCGCCGGAGATTTGGTTGATGCATCACAGCCTGGAAAAGATGTGCGTCAGTTCATCTAAAGCATGAGGAGTGGATTTGAATAATAGGCAAACTCTGCATTGTGTGACGGGTGCAGGAAGTGTGGAAACCTGCAAGTTTGTTGTTGCATTGCAAACTTGTTTTGTGGGACAGAAGTTGTTAAAAACTTCCTAAGATTTTTTTAATATAATCCCCTCCTATTAAATTTATACATCTAACATCTTGTATTTCTACATTGATTTATTTGTTGCTCAATTCTTTAAACCCCATATAAAGTAATTAGGAGAAATGTTTTAAGATGTGCCATATTAATGCAATTCTCATTATCTAAGAGTTACATTTCTATAGTAGAGATTCAAATTCTAATACCACACTCTGTCCTGTGTGGCATACACGAGTCATTAGCAAACGTTAACTTTGCACACGCGTGTGTGTGTGTGCACAGGTACGCGCGTGTTGGCTTAGCACAGTCATGCTTAGCAGCCTGGGTGCGGATCTGCTGATGTGGGTCTGCTCCCCAGAGGCGCCTCTCCAAGCTGATGCTCTCGTGGCCGGGCCTATAAAAAGCAGCAGTAGTAGTACAGCATAAACTAGATCGCAGGGGTCCCTGGGGGGGTCGACAGAGGGCTCTGCTCCGTACCCACCGCCAACACGCAAGCATCTTGAGTCTCCTTCTCACATCTCCTTCCCTGTCAGCTTAAATCTCCTGTGTACCGAATGGCATTTCGGTCCGGAATGGGACCATATTGATTTGTGCGAGATCGATTCGTGGTTATGTCATCTGCGCGACGCTGTACCAGTCAGGAATAAGCATTTGTGTAGGTGCACAGTACTCAGTTCCCCAAGGAGGAAGCATCTGGAACACAGGAATGTAGGTCTTGCTTTGAAGTCTGTTTCACTGGCGTAGCTCTACTGCTCTTCCGAGTGGCAACGGATGATTTTGATCCCTGGGCCAGTTCGTTATTATTCCTTTAGGGTTTTTTGTCTCATCCACCTCTGGGTGTACAAAGTTCTACTTCCGTTCTTTTCTTGTCTCTGCTGTCATGAACTTTGGCTGGTTGAAACTGAGGAGCAACTCAATTAAAGAAAGTCATGCCCCCCCCCAACCTTCTGATAGAGGCAGAACCCCATGTGGGCCCTCAAGTGCGATCGCACAATGAGCTTGATAATATAATGAGGTGAAAAAAGATCCCTCTCAACTTAATGCAGATAACTGATAAATGTAATAACTGTAATAAATGTAATAACAGATAAATCACGCGTTGTAATGACATGCTTGATTTGTAAGTCTATTACAGAAGTGTGAACAAAATGGAATTGTATCAAGCTACTATTACTACTATTAACTAAGACTGTCAAATATCCAGAAAATACAAAAGTGGTGTGGAATAAGTAGTTATTGAAACGTTTGGGAATTCAAACACAAATACAAAGTTATAGCTGCTTGTATCTTATCAACTTTATGATTAGCAGCAAAATGATTTAGAGCCTGAAAGATAAAACAGTGAAATGCTTTTGTGCTACGAGATGCAAAATATAACCCATGTTAATCATCATAATCATGCTTGATATGACTGCTGTTTCTGTTTGTGAGCAAATCCACAATACAATTCTAGGAATTAATGATTTTTTTGTTTCTGCTCAAGGGATTGGACAGACTGCTGACTGTAGGCTGTTGTCAGGATTGAACTCGATACCGACCCGCGTGCGCCGTCCTGGCAAAGCTGGCAGGCTAAATGTTTCCGTAAGCATAACAAATAAACCACCCGTGACCAGATATATCGCATAACAAACAGCTCATTCAGACATATTCAGACTACGCTCAATTCTCGCTGCGCGACAGCTTTAAGAAAGGCTCCACGCAGTAACGCACGCTGGTTGAGGTTCAAGCTGTGACCCAAAGAGGGTCAAGGACGTGCAAACGCAGATCACAACCCCCGACCGCAGCGCAATGAGGTCCGACGTTGGTCAAATGTGCACGACGACGCGCTCGCTCAGAGAGTTTCCTGCTGCCTCAGCAATCTCGTAACACTCAAGCGGTGACCTTTGCCCCCCCCCCCCCCACCCACCCACTCTAAATGAAAGAACAGATGGGCTGGAGGTAGCATCTGGAGGGGCTCTCCAATGACCCCGAGAAAAATGAAACGTAATTACGCCGCATCTACTGGCGGAATATCACACATCCCCCTTTTCCTTCATTCCCCTCGGGCTGCACCCCGAGGCTTTTACGCAATTAGCTGCTTGGTCTGGTGTTCCAGCGACTATTGGATGAGATGTTTACCACCACAACACAACGGATGCGCAGGTGGGGATGAGCGACAGGAAGCCACCCGCCAGGTCGCGGTGCACACTGGAGAAACACGGGGCGAGGCGAGACAACAGGGGACGCGTCAGTCAAAGAGTTCACGGGGCATGACGGCATCTCTAACGGCCTCCAAACACCGCGGGGCTGTTGTGCGTTCGTTGTTTGCGCACTCTGTTTAGCGTTGTGGCCGGTTCCAGGGTCAACAGGGGGAGGGACACACAAAGGACAGAGTTACTCATCTGCACTCGTCACATTTACCCGCAGGTGATAAATGAAAAACAGATTTATGTTGAAGGTTGCTGTTGTTGGAGATATTTTCTACCTGGTAGCAGCTGGACAAATCTGGTTGAACACACAACCTGCAGATGCAAAAGCCTCGTCAAATGTGCACACCAAAGGTCGTCATCAAGATTTGTTCGAATGAATTCGTCACATTGGATTGCGTACATTCCAAATATTAGTTGTGTGTTTGAGGACAACACGCCCTGTGTGATTGGACTATCTGTGCATAGCATTAGTTCTGATTAAGGCCATTTCCCCCGATACACATGGTACGCCCCTCGTGTAAGCTCATTAGGTTGCAGGCAGATAAACATGAGGAAAAAAAAAACAGAGAAAAGAAACTCTCAAACTCCGTGACGGAAATCAGAGATTACAACAGGCACAGCAGCAATAACATAATGCCGCGTCTTCTCCGTGTTGATGAAACAGTGATCAGTGATCCCGTTTGGTTTTAGTCACGCCGCGATGCTCCCTTCATCACGCCCGTCATTCTGAACATCCTGTTGCTCTTTGGTGAGAGAAGGAGGCTCCAGCTCCTGCCGTTGAAAGTAAAATTGAGAGGAAGGACGGCAGCTCAAAAGTGCAGTTCAGTGTCCATTTATCACACCCTGATAAATCTGCAATAAACATATTAATGTGTGAATATTTGGTCACGAGTCAGCTCCTGATCCCGTCCAGCTCTTATTCCCCCCCCCTCCCCCCCATTTCCCTCCCAGCTGTGCCACTGTTGCCTTTCTAATCCTCATCACAGACATGATGAATGCTGTTGTTGCTAAAGCCATGGTTAAAAAAATGAATAAAGAGAACAGAGAAAACAGAAAGTGGATATGCAATTAGAGATTAATGAATGCACATTAAGGAGCTGCAGCTCTTCATATCCTGAATGGCACCTGACTTATTTACTAATGTGAGTGACTTACGGATTTACGGATGATTGGTTGACTAAAGCTTAAAGACTCAGGGGGCCGTGCTGGAGCACTGCAGGTCCACATCAGGTTCTGGACGGTGCGTCTTTAACACACTGTGTACAGTGTCAGCAACCCCCCACCCCCCATGCTCAATATTTATGCTTTATTAAGTGTTTACACATTACACACTGGAGCCAACAGAAGATAATAGATTGTTCAGTTAATACAATCCTCGTCATGGACAACATGATGCTATTGAGGATGTAAATTATTACATGAAAACGCAAGCGGGCTTCTGTGCACACGACAAACTGCTAAAACGTAGAGGAACAGGAGCATGACAGCAAACTTTGTCCCGAGCTGCTGTACAGATACACAACATGAAATGTTTCCGTAGACTCATTAACTAATAAAAATGACTCAACTGTCAAAAACATGGGGGGGCGGGGGGGACAAGCACATTTGCAGCCTTCAGAAGACAGAGGTTCATTCATTGTGTTGAAACTAATTGCAATCTGTGGTTACGGCAGATCCTGTTATTTCTTTCCTTATTGGCTTTTGCCACCAAAAACATCAACACAGTGGACACATTTGAGACATAGAAACTCTCTTACGTAAGTTTGACGGATCCCGTTTTGAGTCACACCAACATACAGGGACATTCTTGTCCCCCGTGTAAGGGAGAGATCTCTGCCCCCTGCGGCCCGGTCCCAGCGTGCTTTGTGCCATTGAAAAGATGTCCATGTTGACAGTCCCTCAGACTGCTAATGTTTACCCACAAACACACGCTGCGTCGAAGGTCGCTGTTTGACATCTAACCCAGAGCCTGAACTGGGGAGGGTTGGCGAGGCGGTGCGGTGGGGGGTACGAGGCATAGGGTGCGCAGGGTGGGTGGACTTTATCTTTAATATAGAGAGGTTTGCCCTTTCGGAGGCTTTGGACTGCAGATCAGGTTGAGTCAAATGAGAGAGAGGTCTGCTTGTTGATGGCACTGCGAGTTAATGGTACGGATGCAGTGCTCCATGACCCTAATCCCTGTCCGTGGAGCATTTCGCCCCACATCAGCTACCAGGCACGTCTATGGTGGGGGCCAGGAATGGTAAACGGAACCATGTGCTTTATACGCGTTCACAAGCAATCATACCTGAGCTCATGGTCGTTCAAAGATTGCTAAGAAGGGATAACTGCTGTGAGGTACAGAAGTATTTCAAGAGGAGAACATAACTGCAGATATATCCAGGATGCAGTTTGGAAACAAACAGAAAAGAAATGAATGACAAACTCTGGTCAAGGCGGTTCAGGGCTTGTTAGAAGATCTTTAGTGCTTTTCTTTTATGTTAATTACGATTAAATTAACATCCAAATTGTATTTGGAATATTCAGGTTGTCTTGGTCATGACAGCTTTCAAGAAATGTGCTGACTGTGGAGTCAGGGGGTTATGCTGAAACCTGAACATTGTTAACCATTCCCCTACAGTACGGCCTACGACTACAAGCAACATATGCCGTAGCACTCGGCTGGATGTAACCGAGACGATCTGCATGGCCAAACACCAATGAGGATAAGCAAGAATGTTTTACGGTAGAATATATTCCTTCTGAGTGTTGCTCAATAAGAACATCACCTCTGAAGCATGCACGAATAGCTGCTTCTTTCTCCCACAATGGGCAATTCTGCACTGAGTGGGAGGTGTGGAATCGTCTCTCACACTAACACCTGAGCCCGTCAACAATGATTCCCACACACACGAAACACAAACATGTAACACCATCGATGTAAACAGCCTTTCAGACGGACGGAGCGGTCCATTAAAGTTGACCTTTCAGATGCAAACGTAAGGGGAGCGTTGGGCGACATTGTTGCGCAGCCTGTCTCCATAGTAACAAGACCCGCCGAGTCAGTCAACAGCGGTTTTGGGGGGGGGTTAAATAATTGGAAAGAACAGTGAGGAGTTGCCGGTTGTATAACAAGTTCTGAAGAATGGTAGAGTCATTGCGACTCATTAGCGAAGACTGACTTGAGGGCAACGGTAATTGCTGGGGGCCGGGGAGGGGCAGGGGGGGGGTTTAAATGAGTGCTGTTAACCTTACTCTTACCCACCCTCACGTCTCTGGAGACTTCCATCAGCTCTGGGTAGATGCTATCTGCTTTCACGTACACAAACACACCCTGCAGTTTCCTTTGGCACATTTGTCGTTTTGTTTTAACAAGCAGGATTCATCCACCTGCACACGCAGAACAACAAAAACAAAGCTAGAAATAACTCTCATCATCATCATCATCATCATCATCATCCTATGGTTTTACATTTTTGCTTACAGTTTTTTAAACATCTAGGTGAATAACCTGGTTTGAACAGCAGCACCAAGCTCACACAAAAGCAACCACACACACACACACACAGACCAATTGAAAGTAAAAGCCGAGGCCGGCTTACTGGAGGAGAACCAGCCAACAACTCTAAATATTGCCGCTAAATATCATCACTGTGTCACCATAAGGGGATTGAGCAATAAGGTCCTCACGAAACAGACAGGAGGATGAGAACATGAGTATAGGACTCTCACATATGGTACGTTGATAGCACGTGGTTTCTTGGAAGCAGTGACACGGATCAGATTGCAACGGCAGGATGTGAGAGATAAGATAATAATAGGAGGGGGGGCGTTTATGTCCAAATGTTAGTGCAAGTCTTATGAGGTGTTGCAAAACATGTTGCTTTAGCAAGTCATTTAGTGACTAGTGGCAATTTAGTGGCAAATAAGACGTGGCCTGATAACCTGTTTTGTGACAGTAGCTGAATAAAAGCTGGCGGTGTAAGGAAATGAAAGTCCCACTCGGTTCAAGAAAGAAATGAACAAAAGATTTGCTTGGCAAAAGTTCAATTTCCATATTTCTTTGCACGCAATCTTTGAATACGTGATGATCAGTGAGGAGAATCGCGGGAAGCCACACGAGTTCATCAAAAGCCTCTTTATTGAATGACAGCTGTAAAACAAGGACAGTTACTGAGGGAGCGGAGCCCAGATGGGGGGAACCCGGAGAACCAGTTGTTTCTTTTGCTCCGTACTTTACTCCATACAGCCCGGCACTTCTCTCTCTCTCTGTCTCTTGCACTCCTGCTCCGTCTCTGCTCGAGCTCTCCGGAGGAATCAGCCATTGGCCTCAATCTACCTCGGCAACAAACAGGTCCTACTTTGCCCCCCCCTCCCTCCCCTCTCCCCCTGCTCTAAAATAAGAGCGGGTCGGTTTTTGGTGTTCTGTTACAAATAAGCAATGAACATTCCACAAAATGATACAGGCCATGCAGAGTAAGTCACAGGAACCTTTGGTCTGCTGAGAGATGAAAGCGTTCATTGTACTAACAAAAGCTCAGTTGACAGTGGTCACCAACGTGCAGAGAAAGGGACAGCAGCCAAATGCAAAAAAAAAAGTAATTATTAACACTGTCAGCTGCGCGAACAACTAAATGTCAAGGACTTGAATGTTGCTGCTCTGTTACAAAAGAGCTGCATATGCAAGTCAATGACATTTGTGTCAGTGTCGTACTTTAAACAGGTCAGGATGAGACGGCGAGGCGCTAATCTCATGAGGAAACAGCAGGAGGGAAATGTCATCATCATTTCTCAAACGTGTTGCAAACTGAGGCAGCAGACCCAGCTAACCTGCACGAGCAAGAAACTAAACTGAGCAGCGAGCAAGGCGGATGCAGAGTGGAAATTAATGACAAAAGTGAGCAATTTGCTCAGTAATGTTACAGCACTTCGTAGTGACACCAGGCAATGCCCCCACCCCCCCCCTTTGAATGACAAATGTTGGAGGGAAAAGGGGAAATCTGTTAATTCCACTCAAATTAAGCTGTTGAATACTTGACGGCGAAAACTAAAACATGATTCCTCAAATACATCAAATTGATTTCCCCCCCCCCCAATACCAATCTGCCCACCGCCTGCTCACCATCTCCACTTGCCGAGGGTCCAGATTGGTGGCCACAGTGGTCGGCACAGCAAAATGGATCTTCTTCCTCTCCTTGGGCTCCTCGTCGCCCTCGGTTGACACAGAGGGCTCCATGGTTCTGGATCCTGGAGGGGGGGTTGGGGGGGGAGGTGGGTGTCTGACTCCCAGTGAAAGGAGGGGAGAGTTGTGCTGAAGATCACTACAACCTCCCTGGAAGAACCTCCCACCGCTGTGTAGCCCCACTCCCGAAGACTTGTCTCCTCTCGGCTGCCTCACTCATTCACACCCGGACGCCCTCCTTCTCTCACCAAAACTCTAAACTGATCTCTCTTTCCCTCTCTAGCGGTCGCTAGTGTTCTCCTCTACCTCTCTTGTTCTCCCTCTCTCCCTATTCCCCCCCCTCACCCCTTTTCTTTACAACCTGTGCAGCTGATGAGAGTGAGGCACGTCCTCAGATGTGGCTTTGGGGGAGAGACGTGGGTGGGGAGGTGGTGAAGAGGAGGGGCAAAGTTCCACAGGGGGGAGGAGACATCACGAGAGAGGGGAGGGGCCGGAGCAAATAGGGGAGGAGAGGAAAGAGGATGAAGCAGGACGGCGGCTGCGTTTTTTTTTCTTGTCTAAGCTGAGGTTGATTTGTAATCAGAAAAAAAATAATAATCTCATCACGTCAGCTGAGCCTCTTTTGGCCTCTATTTGTGAATGAGAGATTTGCGCTGAGCGATGGAGGGAGCCGGGAGTGCAAGGAGGGATAAACAAGTAGAGCGGTGCATGCAGGATCATGCAGGAGGAATGTACGAGGGACCCAACAGCCATGAGCACTGGATTTATTACATTGGGGGCTGTTACACATTATGCTATTACAAATTAATTTCACTGAGTAACACTGAGTAACACTGGATTACCTTGGTTTTTGTCTTCCATCCTGTAGAAAAGCCAAAATAACTGATAATTTAATTACAGTTTTGATCTAACGAGACACTTAATAATGACAAATAGGACATTGAGACAGAAAGAAACAATGATGGATGGAAATGCAAAGGGTATAGAGGGAGGGGGGCATGTGCCAGTACTATTATCAGGGCCTTGCTGTTATTTCACTCACACGGCAGAGGGATTTGGACAGTGAAAAGCGGTAGATTTGGCCTCAGGGCAGAGTTGAGCTTTGGCAGCGGATGGAATGAAGGAGATAGCTGGAGTTGTGGAGGAGGAGGTGGAGGAGGAGGAGGAGGGTGGTTGGAAGGGCTTAGTGGGCAGAACAGAGTGAAAGGTCAAGGTGAAAAAGTTACCCTGGGATCTGAGGTTTGCAGGCCAGACATTCCAGCATGTTATTTATTCACTGTTCATAAGTGAGGAGATGAACCAGGGTTTAAAGGGCTTGTCAGGGGGGGTTACTGCTCCATAGCCCCTCCTGTTGACAAGCAAAGCACCACCCCTGCATGCCTGCGGGTGGCAACTCATTATTGCTTTTTTGAAAGGTTGTGGCTTCTGCTAATAGACACTGTGTAAATAACTGCTGAATGTTTCTGAGGATAAAACCCTTCTCAGTCACCGGTTGCCTTTCGATTTGTTTTGCCAGTGGTTGCATAACCTCAGCAATGACTGTGCAATAAATCTTGGGGATGTGTAATAGGCTCTGTGAAAGAATGCAAAAAAGTCCACCGTGCAATGAGAAAGTATTTTTAAATAACAAATATTCTTTTATGCAAGGGAATTCAGAGAGCGAGTAGGATGATGAAAAAAATAAATACATATACAGTATTGAATCTGATCTGTGCCAATACGCTGAACACTTTAAGTGTTGTTTGAAGTCACCACACAGGAAAGCGACCACCAGCTGTGTGTGGTCACCACTGTGGTCATTAAAATCAGCAAGACAGGATGCCAAACATCAGGCGAAATCCCCCTCCTTTTTATCCTGCTGAGAACCTGAAGGTGGAAGCTAAAAACAAGGTAATGTTGGCAGAAATGGCAAATAAACCCAACGTATGCCACACCTGCAAACCACATGCTGCAAAAACTATATCCGTTTAGATGTAAGCATTGCAAAACCACAGTGTTCTCAGGTTAAACACGATACATACCTGGCGTTGACTCACTCTTTAAAGTAATCCTTTGTTTGATCTCATTTCCTGCAGAATTACTTTTTCAAATACCCCCGAAATATTTTATTGGCGTACGCCGAATGAGTACCCAGGGGAACCGGCCAAAACAAATCTTGAAAAATCAAGAGAAATAGTCCAACACAGATGAAACTAGCAAGTGCCAGTCTGGTACAGGAGGAACGGCTTTGATCTGAGACTCTAAATATAAAATGAGACATTTCATCCCAGAGAATAATTCCAATTCTCTGGCAAAATAAGATGCGTCTCTCAGACGCTCATATTTGCAGATTTATTGAGGAGAGTACAAAGGTGTTTGCATGCAAAAAAGGAATAATTAATAAAAAGAAAACCAGGATGTAATCCCATGACGTATTACAGTTCCCCCGAAAACCTTAACATGGTTGTTTGCAGAACCGATTATACTTAAAACAGGTTGGATGCACATAGAATTAATGCCCATATGGAGACATCTTAATGTACGTTATTAAAGCACCAGGACATCTTAATTATTTTCCTTTTTATTCCTACGACACTCTCTTCTCGGGCAAATCCAACAATATGTATTCCTGGTGGCTCCGCCCTCTCAGCTCGTCATGTAGAGCAGTTGGGGTTAGGTGGGATTAACATGTGAAGCGGTTTGGCTTTGTGTTGAGCATGTTATACCAAAGCAACATGAAACAGGAGCTCCGGGCCGTAAGAAAAGCCGATAGACAGAAAAGCTTGTGAATGTATGAACAGAAAAGTGTCAGAGCAGCCAGGCACTGTAAATTCTTCTGGCCATCTGTCATATTAACAAAATTACACCACACTGTGGACACTGACAAGTTGAACAAATTGCTCTAATTGGAACGCAAATGGATATTCTTCGAGAAGTCCTTCGTGCCTAAACCGATTAACAAGGAAAATCCCCTGAAAGAAACAACCTTAATGATCTGTGTTTACCTCAGCTGATCACGATGTTTCCACTGTCCTGAAGCTGCCCCTCCATATTCATTCATCAATGTTTGATCTTGTATTTGTTTATTGCTAATCACCGCTAGCATCCCCACGATGTTTGTGGGTGTGAATCCCCTTGGGAGAGACTGTATTTGTTTGTACCTCTAATTAAACCTGATGTGTCACTTACTCGGCTGTGTGTGTTTGCAGACATTGGTTAAACCCATCTACGCGCGTACCAGCCTGTCTGTATCTATTTTTGTTACTCGTCCTTGTGTTTATACATTTTGTGTCAGGCGTGCCGTTTAATCACTCTGCTGGCAGAACCAGAGGAAAAACCTCCCATAGATGGATCACACTTGCAGCCTGAGAACTCCAAGCGTGATGATAACTCCCGCAATAAAGCAGGGACACGGTGTACAAAATATGTGCCATGTGCACTGCTCACACACACACACACACTACTCTGGAGACACTCCAAACCAGCACCAAGATTAGGAAAAAGTGTGTAATTCTATCTACTCCTAAACGCGGCATCTTGAGCCGTGTGACAGGCGGTGGAGCGAGAGCTAACAAAAACCTTGCTGTTATGTAAGTGATTCACAGGCCTTTCAGACGCCCCCCGTGTTACCTGACCTGCTACGAGGACCAGATGCATTCCTGGTTTGCATTCTGAATGTGTCATCACGAAACAAACTAATAACAGAGGAAGAAGCTGGAGAAAGTTTTAACCAACATTGCTACTCACGATCCTCGTGCTTTCATGCTACCTAATTGTCTCTAGCGGCCAGGTGCTCCCGCATCAACACGCTGATGCATTGAAATGGGATTGTAGAGACTAACATCACTGTAAAAGGTGAAATATTCATTTAATCAGGATCACAGAGAGGCTTTGTACTGTCATAGCAGGTGTCCAGGTAATGCTGTTAAGGAGCAGAGAGAGGCACTGTCTGTCATTCAACACTTGACCCCCCCACACATCTCAATCCAGTTATATAACATACTATCTCACAATAGACAGGCAGTGCTGCATGAATAGCCATGGTCATATACACCTGCACTGGCTCACCGGCTTTAGTTGTGATGAAGGTTGCATGAGCACCACCTGCTGTCCGATCGGTGTCATTACAACTTACAATGGAATGTAAAAGATCACAATATCATATTGTATTTTCATGCTCGTCATGAGGTCAGACACGAGCACAGACATTTTGTTATTCTATAGAACTTAATGATTCATTATATGATTCTGTGAGCGCTGCTGGGATGGACAGAGGATCAACTCCCCAGCTTGTTATCATTGCAGCGTTTGATGGGAGGGAACAAATATCCGTCTGTGTTGGCACAACACACCGCATATCAGCTCACTAATAATCTATAGAGAGAGTCACATGGAATAAAATACATAAGAAAAGAAACTGAGACAGAAAAGAAATATGAAGTCTAAATTAAAGCATAGTTGTGGAAGGTCAAGTCAAAAGTGTGGTTCCCAAACAAAGGTCTAAAGAAGAACACTGAGAGACTTTGAAACTAAAATAAAGTGTCTTTTCTTTGTTAGAGTACAAGAACCCTAATAATAATTACTTATCAACAATTCAATTCAATTTCTTAATTATCTTTCTTTTTCCTTTTTATTTTGGTCAATTCTGGCAAAATCAAAATTTAGTGGCATTTTTGGTTACAACATTTACTGGCAAAATATACACCTATATATTATTAAGAATTAATATTAATATTACACCTGTAAAATGTTTTTTTAGAAATGGTAAACAACGATAATGATAATTATGAATGAATTCCAGTAGGTGGCAGCCTTTCGTTAGATTTGCCTCTTAAAAAGCCTCGTCCTGTGTTGACGGCATGCAAGGAGCTTTCCTAATGGGGTTTGAAATTGAAACCGAGGCGTTCATTTAGGATGAAGGCAAATTTAAAACATGTCACAACTGATGGACATTGAATAGATGTACCAATCACTATCAAGAGGACGTGGCAGCACGCGAACCGAGAGGGGAAAGCTTCCTGTACCCAAGAAGAGGAAGGAAACACTTAATAGGAGTGAGATCACTGGAAAGGTAAAGATGCTTATTTACAACTTTGAGTTGGAGATTTCAGTGAAGGTTAATGTACAAAAACAACAGCACAAAAGCAAATTAAAATAGAGCTGTGTGTGTGTGTGTGTGTGTGTGTGTGTGTGTGTGTGTGTGTGTGTGTGTGTGTGTGTGTGTGTGTGTGTGTGTGTGAGTGTGTGTGTGTGTGGGCGTGGGCATTAAAGTAGGGTGGGGTGTCAGAGGCGTAGCAGGTGGAAGACATGGTGGAGGCAGAGATGGAGGAGGACGTGGCGGCGGGGCAGTGATTTAATTAGCACCCTCTACCCCCTCCAGCCCTTCACTCATAGCATCAATAATGCATGGCCCCTTGTTTCCACTGCCATAATTAATCCTCTCTTACTATAATTAAAAGCCAAAAATCCCACAAGATGGTTCAGCTTGGCCGGGCCCGGGTTGGGTTGGCACGGGAACTGATGAAAAACTCCAGAGCTTCACACCGACCCGACGGATCGACAGACAGACAGACAGACACGTTGACAGAGAGATCGATCCTCGACCGGCTCCGACACGCGCACCGTGGATGAGGCGTGAGGGCGAGCTGGAGACACGCGCAAAACGCCACGCGCAGGCAAATGAGATGAATGAATTCCACAGACTTTGCGGCCCGAACCGCTCGTTGGAAATGTGCTCTTGAGTGTGTGGTGTTTGTGAATGGGTGAGAAGGTGTGAGAATTGAGCGAGCCAGGCAACGGATCTACCGACCCCGGTTCCGATCCCTGGAAATGAATGGTGTAGAAGGACGTGTGCGCGCACACACACACACACACACACACACACACACACACACACACACACACACACACACATACTTACACATCCATCCTGCTCCCAGATGAGGTTTGTCTCCACAGCAGCCAAGACAGACGAGAAGGAGAGGCGGAGCTTTCTGATGCTGCAATTAGGACCACACTGTCTGGGCGAGCAAACAAGAATGAATATTTCAGTCCGGAGATCTCCACGGGTACCTGGGGGCCTGGCACACCTACAGGCCCCCACACACACAGACATCCATTCACACACACACACACACGCGGATACACGATTTACCACGACTGCCAGAATTATTCACCTCCCAATCACAGATGCCACAATTATCACATCAGTATCACTGTGTAAATGATGCCAACTGCTATGCTCAATGAACTATTGTACAAGATTTACAATGTGAGTATGAATATGCATCAGCAGGAGCAGGGACGGTGTGTAGCTGATGGTTTTTCCCCAGTGAAAATAGGTGCAACGAGGCTCCAAACTTGGCCGCGGGCCAAGAAACAACACCGTCGGTAGAGCAGAGGTCATACATCTTATCGGCGCCTTCAATTTTGTCCGCCTCGCTCTTCCTTTCTCGCTTCCCCTTTTCAGACAGAGAGCGCTCACCCCGCTCAGTCCGCCTCTTGCAGCTCTTCGGCATTTTTAAACGAGGCTTCACTCCGGGCGATCCAGGGTGCGCGCACCCTTCCCCCCCCCCCCCTGCGCCCGCTCACGCATTCACACGCAGGACGCAGCACAATAGGAGCACTCCCTCTGGTGTGGGTTTATTGCCGATGCTCCGCGCGGCCCGTCTCGCTGCCCCGCCGTCCTCGGCCCCATCTCCACTTGATTTATCGCTCCAAAATACCACTGCACTAATTAGTCAAGTAATTAATTAATAGGCATTTGCATTTGTGCATATGCAATTAGGGGGCTGGAGAGAGGAGCGTGCAGATGGGGTCCCGGTGTCTGGTGGGGGTGGGAGGGTCTGGTTGTGTGTGTGTGTGTGTGTGTGTGTGTGTGTGTGTGTGTGTGTGTGTGTGTGTGCGCGTGTGTGTGTTCTGTATTTCATATTTGTGCCAATAAAAGTTTGCACCTCTTGCAGACAGACTAACAGAGTGCACGTCATCCCCTCACATGTCTGACAGTTAGAAAAAAAGGAAAAGGCATAAAAAATATGAACAGTCAGGAGGAGTGGCTTGATGACTTTGAAAGGATATTGAGTGTCATTAAGGATAGAGGAAAAGACCCATGGCAATTTTTATATCTTAAAGAGAAAGGACACTCATTTTGCAGTCATTTAGCCTATGAAAAGGCAGCAGGTGGCCCGTACTTATGACTAATCCTAAACAAACACCCCGCAGAGTCATTCTGAAATATCATAATTCCCAGCAAGCTCTCATCCAGCATTGAAATATCAGACCAAAGCCTGGTTGGAGTTGCCTCTAGCCCGGTGCCGGCTAAAGTCACAATGTTGACATTTAGCATTTATTTTGGCAAGGTGACCTGAAGGTTGTTTTGGACTTGTTGAGAGGCATCACCTCCACCCCCCCCCCTTATCCCACTCCTCCCCCTCTTTGCATCTCTCAGTGCAACTGAGGTAGGATACGGCATCGATTTGGCTCGGTGGTGGAGCTAGATGCCTCTTGCCCCCCCGTTTCACACACACACACACACACACACACACACACACACACACACACACACACACAAATGCTGACACAATAACCCCGCCATGGTTTGGGGTAGTGCCAAGTTACCATCCCCTCATCCCAGAAGGGATGAGACACATTAGTGAGTATATAGCATCACGGCTCCCTAGCCACAGCTGCCACACTACATGGTGACCCCAGGGATGACCCAAACCCCCCCCCCCAAAGCTTCCCTCAGTTCTGGTTGTCGAAGAGATACAGGGGTGATCTAGATCCAAGGACATGATGAGCTTCTATCGCTACTTCTCCCTCGTTCCCTTAGTCCGGTTGGTGTCTTTGTGCCAAGTTGGACTTGGTGGTCATCGAGCTCATTTCCCCCCCATTAACTCCACTAATGTCTGCTAAATAGAGAAATCTCGGAGCTGGGACGGACTGGATGCAGCTGAAGGGACCAGAGTGCTGCTGGCGGAGAATTCTTACATCTAAACAAGCGAGGTGCCAACCTTCCTCCTCCTAAATCTTGGGCACCTCTGCCAGCTCCTGCCAGCACCAATCCCCTATTGTCTAACCCCCCCCGACCCTCCCGTCCCTCTCCTCATTTTTCATACTTCCCCTGTGGCCCTGTACACCTGGGTCCCACTCTCTCTCACCTCTCACTGTGCCCCCTTTTTCGCTCTGTCTCGGATGCTCGCCCCTGCAGACTCCCCTCATTTAGCATCGCATGCAGGAAACACCAGCGGCCGCTCTGGCAAACCTCACACATTCAGACAAAGCGACCAGCAAACATTCGCTCTTTTCACGTAACCTCGTGAGCACCAACCCGCTCCATGCGGCAATATCCTGCGTCATATACCTTCTGATCGGACTCATTCAAAAGTCAGAACAAATCACAATTGGTTGTTGTTCCTCTGAATACGTTGAAGCCTAATTTGATTCAAATTAGTAAATAAATAAACAATATGCCGTCTGTTCCATGGCCTTAATGCAATGCATCCCCATCCCCCCTACAACCACCCTGCTTCTGAACCAGGGATGTGATGGAGGGTGAAACCTGTAACTAAACCCCACCCGTCATTGATGCCATAAGCTCCATGCAAAATGATAGTATCATCTCAAAGGTGTTCATGAGAAAAACGTCTTTAAAGGAGCAGTTGAGTTGCTAAACGTGTTTGTCTTGGGGCTTATTCACTATTATTAACTCTGGATGGGCATCCGTGAGTCAAGGTATATGTCGACCTAATCCCAATTGATCGTGTATTTGCCTCCTATAACAATGATTGCTACCTGCGCAGCTCTTCTTTAAAGTGGAGTAAACGCCGACGAGTGTGTTTGGCAGGTGAATGAGAAGATTCGCAGGTTGAATCGAAAAATAGTCAACATCCCTTGAAGCAGCAGCACAGGTCAACAATGACGATTTTTGTTGTTCCTCCATTTTATTTTATTTTCTCCCTCTCTCTCTCTTCTGTTTTTCCTCATTTTTTTTCTGGCTGTGTGAGCTCTAACGTAGCGACAGATGGCACAGCCCCCCCCCCCCCTCCTCCTCCTCCATCATCTACTTCTTCTTAAACTCCTACCTCCTCCTTCTCTCTCTCACTCTCTCTCTCTCTCGCTCTCTCTCTCTCTCTCTCTCTCTCTCTCTCTCTCTCTCTCTCTCTCTCTGTCTCTCTCCCCCCGCGGGCAAATCTCTCCGAATGTCAATCACCGGGCTCTCATGTGATGGCTCTTGCCGGTGACGCGCCGGCCATATGCGCGCCGGCATCACAGCCTTTAGCTGGTATGTAACCCCGTTCCCCGGTAGCTCACTCACTCACACGCACACATGCTCACTTAACTCACACACGTATACACACACACGCGCGCAGCACTCGGCCAGACGCACGTTTGATCGCACGCTCGGGTCGCACCGGTGCGCGCGCGCGGGGAGTGAAGCGCCCTCCCGAACAACCCCATCCGCGCCGGGCAGAAGGAAGCCGCGCTCTGCCCCGCACGACACCGAGGAGGATGCGTTGCTTCGCGCGCTCCATGAAGATGGTCTGAAACTCACGCACGTGTTCCTTTTTTCCCCCCGTTGCTCTCCCTCCACCCCGCCGCCTCCGCGAGGAGCTCAAGTCGAGGTGAGTTGGAGCGTAGACAACGATAGAAACATTTATTAATGAATCGATTGGAAATTAAAAAACGCATCTTTGGATGCTTGAATGCCCTTCCAAAATGGAGGAGTAAATTGTTTTTGCACACAGATGAACAGGTTAGTGTCTGGGTGTCTTCAGTGTTCCACTTGAATTAGCCAGTTTTTGGTGACTTTATTGTTGAAAGACAAAAAGCCGTTGAATCTGTTGCCAATCAATCATTTGCTCTGGTATTTTCGTTTAATTCGTTTACATCGGGTGACACTTTGGAATCCATTCAAATGGCAAGAACGGATATACGAGGCATCCTCGTTTAACTACGTGTCCGTAGCACCTTTGCTCTGATGCCCTCCAACTTTTGACATCCAGATCTACCTGCTCCGCATGAGCTCAAATCAGATAGCAGGCTCGGGTCAAGGGGGGGGGGGCAGTCCGGAGGAATGGAGCAGCGCGGGCTTGTAAATAGATCAGATCGGACACTGGTTTGATTTACACAGTCCTGCTTCTGCACCCGGAGACCGAGAAACAATAGACAATAAGTACGCAGAATAAGATGTTTTCTTTCTTCCTGGAATATGTTCACAACCATGTCCGGCTGCGTCGGAGGACGTCCTCGAGCTTAATGGCAGATTTATTGATGATTTCGTCGATGATTTGCACGTTCAGTCCGGGAGTAAATGGAAAGGGTGGTGACGACGCCGCACGGTGACAGGCGGTGCGCGGCGGGATTTATCTCTGTTTGTCTAGTTTTATCTCTAACAATCTATCTCGACATCACGTTGCCTAAACAGCAGACGTTGCTGTAACAGTGGAGCTGTTGCACGTTTTTTTCCTGCGATATTGGATTGCCTAATTATGCTTTGTGAGTTTGTGTGGGGTTTTTATATTTAACGAGGGATAAAAGGATACAAGCAAATTCCGATCTGTAAAAGGTTATCGCTGACTAAAAAGTGCTTTGAAATCGTGCACTCGTGCATACTGAATTATGTGTGAAATCTATTTCGTGTACGCTGCATGGTCTGTTAATTAAACGTTGTTGTGTGTGTGTGTTTTTTTTCTTCCTCTAATTGAGCAAACCTCCTGAGCCTGAGATTTTAAAACTAGATTTCGCCTCTGGCACACCCCCAGAGATAATTAACCAAGCATACCTTCCTGTGGCTGCAAGTCTGTCTGCTGCTGCACTATAATGGATGGGAAGTAAAACATGTCAGGGAGGAAGCTCATTGAATCTCATTGAATCTCTCAAAGATCATCTCGTCTAACCCCTTTTTATCTGAGAAGGGGATCCGCTTACTAATTAAGTGGTAGCATAATCAATTCATTTTTTTCTTGGTATAGTTCATTGCTGACTTGTGGTATTAATTCATTTGTGTTTCGTTTTAACAGAGCATAAATATTTAGAGTTGTGTTTTTCCAAATGTCTTAAAAGTATTCGTTTCCTGGATTAAAAAAATACCATTATTATTATTATCATTATTGCAACTATCATAATAATAATCATTATTATTTTTATCTGCAATAAAATCCAGTTTGTTATTTCAAAACGCCCAAACCACATTGTTGGCTGATTTTCCTTTGGGTTCTCGCTGCAGCTGAGAAATGTCTGTAAACGCGTTGGTTAAATAATCAAAGCGTGACTTCAAACAGAGCAGCAGCTCACCAATTAAATAAAAAACCCTCTCGCGTCCTCTGAGCAGAGGTGCAAGGTGTGGACGGGTAGTGCTGGAATGCGGCCAGGATGCTATATGCGCGTCAGGAGGAGTGAAAGTGGGGGTCCTCGTGGGAACTGTAATGTGGCCCCTGCCGCCGCGACCCCGCTGCGGGAGGACGCGGCAGGGCACACGGATGACAGCGGGGAATTAAATGTGGATCCGTCTGGCTCTAACTCGACAGCTACGATTTAAGAGCTGATTCCCCCCTTTTAATTTTACCCAAATTTATACTAGTTGTCCTTCAGGCCAAATCAAAGACTTTACAGGCAATGGGTTTTAGTGATTTAAACTTTGATGCAAAGTTAGCGTCTTTATGTGGATGGTAGCGCCTAATAAAAATTCCCTCGGTTTAATTGATTTCATTCATTTTACACTGCTTGTCCCGTAATAGTGAGGCCTCAATTTACTTTTCTCTCCTCTCCAGAGCAACCATGTTGACGAGGCTTTTCAGTGACCCGTCTCTGCTGCCCGATGTGCAGAAATACTCGGGCTGGGAAGACAGCGAGGAGGAGGATTCCAAAATCAAAGATGAGGATCAGGACACTCAGGACGGCACGGCGGGATCTGAGCTGAGGGACGGCAGTCAGACGCAATCCGAGCACGCCGGGGAAGACGACGACGACGACGAGGAGGTGGAGGAAGAGGAGGATGGAGAGGACGCGGAGGGAGACAGGCCCAAGAAAAGGGGCCCCAAGAAGCGCAAAATGACGCCGGCCCGCGTGGAGCGCTCCAGGATGCGCCGGGTGAAGGCCAACACACGGGAGCGGACCCGGATGCACGACCTGAACTCTGCGCTTGACAACCTGCGCAAAGTGGTGCCGTGCTATTCCAAAACGCAAAAACTTTCGAAAATCGAGACGCTGCGGCTGGCCAAGAACTACATCTGGGCCCTGTCGGAGATATTGCGCTCTGGAAAAAGGCCCGACCTTGTGTCCTACGTGCAGACGCTGTGCAAAGGACTCTCCCAGCCAACGACAAACCTGGTGGCGGGATGCCTGCAGCTGAACTCCCGCAATTTCCTTACCGATCAGCAGTGTCAGGACGGCGGGAGGTACGGATCCAGCTCTTTCCCGATGCATTCCTACCCGTACCAGTGTGCACGCCTCTCCAGCCCCCACTGCCAGCCGGTCTCGGGCTCGAACTCGCATCCGCTTAGGGCGCACGGCTACTGCTCGGCTTACGACTCTCTGTACGGGGGGAGCGGATCCCCGGAGTATAACAGTCCCGAGTATGAGGGGCCCCTCAGCCCGCCCCTGTGCGTCAGTGGCAACTTTTCCCTGAAGCACCAAGGCGCTGCGTCCCCCGACAACGAGAAGGGATACTACTCTATGCATTACTCCGGCCTGCCTGGCTCCAGACCCACCGGGCCCCCCAACCTGGTGTTTGGCTCCTCGGGGGCCCGGAGCGGCATTCACTCTGAAAACGTCCCGCCTTACCACGACATGCACTTACACCACGAACGGGCCCCGGCGTACGACGAACTCAACGCGTTTTTTCACAATTGAAATAAAGAGCCCGTCGTGGGCCCCCGGCAATCAAACATCTAACCACGGCACACGTTTTGAAGAGCTTACCTGCCAGGATTGAGACATTCTGGAGAGATATTTCACTCGTTGTCATTGGTGTTTTCCGTTTCCTTTTATTCCGTCTTAGCTTTTTCTTTCTCTAAAGTCAGATATGTAGTGGAAGGGCGACCAACACACAATCGCATCGCAACAGAATATGTCCAGCTGAAATAAAAGGAGATTTGACGAACAAATCAAAAGGCCCGTGATGCCAATACTAATGCTATTTTAAAGTGGGAGTTGTGTCTGTATTGGTGGTTGTTTGCATTTTGGTTACTGGAAGTTGTTTATTTACCACTGTATCACTGGTTTACGCCATGATATTGGCGGCAATTTTCTAATCTTGTGAAATTAGGAATAAAATCCCCCCCAAAAAAGATAATGTAAATTGACTTGCCTGCACGTTCGACATCTGGAGGGGGGGGGGGGGGGATTATGAAAATAATGAAATGCAAGAAGTACTGAACCAATAAAAAAGTGGTAGTTTTTTTTTCAGAAGAGTCTCTGCAAAACACACGTTTCGCATCTATGCAAAGAAGAGACCAGCGGAAGAGGGGCAACACGGCCCGGAAAGACACTGTTTCATCAGCACTGTTGCCAAACCCCCCCACACACACATACACACATGCAAACACACAATATACACCCAATGCATCTGGCCATGCTGCACATAAAAAAAAGAACAATCATTTTTCACTTTTCTTCTTATTTATTTATATGAGCGTTATTCCTCTAATTGAGCCATTGTACCGTCCATACATTTTCGTTGAACATTTTCGTTTTTATTTGTAATGCTGTGTTGAATAAGTTATTATAATTATTACTATTATTATCATTCTTCTTATTGCACGTATTTATTGTGTTGTTTTTGTAATTATCATTAATAGTCAATGGAAATGAAGGGATCCCACGTGTTGCAGAGCGTTTCTTTCATACAATTCAAGTCTTTAAAGTTTGTATTCAATCAACTGAGTGCTAAAATAAAATTACAATAAATGACACTGTGCAACTTGATTTCTTTTTGTCACCTATCGAAACACGCAACAATATATCGCTTTATAAAATGGATTTACTCTCTATAATTATTGGAAGATGGATCATGGATCATCGTTTTTACATCGAACTCAAATTAAAGTAATGTATTGGAACGATATCAGGGCTTAACAAACTATAATTAGAGGGGAAATGGGAGGAATATGAGCCCGGATATGCTTGGTGACACGACCTGGAGGACGCACAGAGCCTCGGGGCCTTTATATTATGAACTGAGACGGGAGGAAGAGGGCAGTGTTGTAATTCCTATCGAATGAGTTAAGTTAGTGTCAATACGTTATTTCTTTCCGACAGGAAGCTCAAATTTACACAAACAATCCTTAAAATGTCCGGGATGATTCAAATTGCATGGGGAGATTTAGTGTAAATGTTGCTTCACAGATTGATACACGCTGATTCCAGTGCGGACGCGGACACACACACACACACACACACACACACACACACACACACACACACACACACACACACACACACACACACACACTATGAAGGTTAGCTAATGTCATTAAAAGTCATCCGGGTTATAATGGAGGCCCCTCTCTGCCATTAAGAGAACACGTGAGGAAAAACTCAGCTTCAGCACCGCGGCGAGTTCCTTCAAAATACTGTTTGAGCCGCACATTTGGTAAAAATCCAAATATCCATATAGATGTAAAACTGCAACATATAATGAGTTCGTGATTGCAAAAAACAACACGTTTCCAGAACACACGTACTGCAGGCCTGTTGGTTTCATGCCAGGTGTCTTAAATGCACAAGGAATCACAACCAATGTCACACCATCACATAAAGAACACGAAAAAGACCCTCGGTGCTTTATGTTTGTTTTTATATTTTCTACACGCAATAACAGTATTTACTTCTTTCTCTTTTTAATTTTGTCAATAAATTAAAGCAATTAAAATAATTAACGTTATTGTCGGACGGCAATGCAGTTTTGGCGCCATTGATAAACGCCGCAATAAATATTTGTTATTTTATGTGTAATTCCCATCCCTCGTTAATGTATTTAACACCAGATAGTAATTATGAAGTTGACCCCTTTCATAGCTTCAAACCTTGCAACTTTGAAAACACATATTTATGTCAGACATTCATTTGGATTGCCATTATGAATGTATTTATGCGGGTCGGTTTTAATAATTTAAATATCTTTATTGAATCTTTGTAAACATAACACTCATGCAACTTACCAACGGGCAGGTAAAATATTCAACATTTATATTAAATATTCATTATTTTCTTTTTATAAAAAAAAAGGTGAACACACAGAGCCACGCAGGCGGTGCGAGGGGCCGCCGCACCCCGCCAGAGTTTGGAGCGCTGCCCCGGGACCCATATGTTCCCCAAAATGTCCTGGGTGCTCTCTGTTGTAAGGGCACACTGGTCTTATGTGAGTGATGATAACCAGTACGAATATGAATACAAATCCCAACATCGATACATACAAATATTTAACTATTATTTCCCTTTTAAACTAAAACAAACTAAAACAGCGTGGGCATCAGCTGTGATTTCGGCCCTGTCGTGTATTTTTGATCATCACAAAATGTGTACAGTCTAAAAGTGGAAAGTTAAAAAAAAAAAATTCTGGAATAACTTACCAAACAAATAGCTGATTAGCCCCATACTTGCTGGCAAGCGGAGGACACTGACATGTAGTGAGGTAGTGCCACTGTTTAGGTTTAGTGCAATGCACATATGATTATTTGGACAAACAGATAAACACATTTTGGAATATTTAATTCAATCAAAAATATGGACAGTGTCTTTTTTTTGCGCACCTGGTCCTCAGCAACTATTAAAAGATGAATAAACCTTTTTTTAGAGAATATCTTACATTTACTAAGTCTATTATGCTCCTGCTCTGTTCTATGTTTTACATAAAGAAAAAATATTAGCAAAGATACATTTATATTTGAATTTCGTCATGGATGTTGGCATTGTGAGGAATTATTCTTCAAATCTTCAAATCATTCATCTTCATTGTTGTCATCTGTGCCCTTCAGTTTCAATATAAAACCATTGCCTTCAATTTGAACATGTAACATTTGGCAGAAGCTTCTACCTCTGAGTGAATTAATTTAGCAGAAGAGTCCCGGGTGGGAATCTAAAGCGCGGTTCTGCAGTTCAGGCTGTTTTCAAATCAACCAACCAAAGGTTGATGTTACACTTTTGCAGTGGTTTAATGGCCTCTGCATTCTTTCTGGCCTCATCAGCAAAAAGAGAATTGCATACATTTCTGAAGAAGCCAGCAAAAAGAGAGAGGCTCGCGAGCAATGGGAAAGAGCATCGATCAAAATACTCACCCCCACCCCCCACACACACACAACTCCTTCTCTTCTTCCTCCACTGTCCGGCGAGAGTGTGTGAGGGGGAGAGAGGGAGAGGTAGATAGAGAGAGAGAGAGAGAGAGGCTGGCAGGCTTGCAGAGGAGAGCTGTGCCAAGTCCCTCAATGTTCCCCAGCAGCAGCACCAGGAGCTCCGGAGAGGACAACCCAGTGTGTGTGCGCCAGCGTGCAGTTCACCGGGCCAAAGTAGCACTGCTGGGAGGAGTCGATGTTTCTTTCCTAATTTTTGCAGCATCTGTTCATTATCCAGGACGTTTAAAAAAAAAGAGAGCGCTCATCCTGAGTAACTCTACGCCAAATACGCAAAGAGATACGCCGCAGTAAGGCATTTTTGTGAGGAGTTGGCCTATGAATATACTCCCCTCTATGTCATGTTGTGCATGAGCTCATGCATTGAAAGAAGGTTGTGATGGCTGAAGAAAATTGTTTATTGTCCACACATGAAGCCTTCAAAGACACTGACGGTGGGCACACAAACCACATTTTAAGAAAGAAAAAAATCCATCATTTTGATTACGTTTGATTCAAATTGTGTCAATATTAAAGCAGCTTGCTGAATGTCACTTGTATGTGTGTGTGTGATGTTGTGACATGTCAAAAGAGTCTGTGTCAAATGATCTATGCAAAGTCAAGCCACGTATTTTTTTTTAATGAAGACATGATATTGGTTTGTGATAAATATGAAACGGGATTCAGGTGTTTTATTTAAATTGCATCACCAACGGAAGGATTTAAGCAAATCGCACCATTTTATACATTTCGTTTTAATTGCCTATAGTGAAATGAATCATTTGATACTTTACTTGGCACAATTGTGCAAAAAAAAGTATGAAGAAAAAAAAAACTTCCAATGACACTCAGGATGAAAAGTGAGTGAATGAATCTCGCTGTTTAAATTATCATGTTCATGCCCACTCTTTTTCTCACTCAACTTGGTAAGGAAAAAAAATCAAGAGTGTTTGTCCGACATAACAGTCAATAGTGCGATTATCAAAATGTCACAAGTATTATGGTGTGAATTCCAATTAACGTCTAGTTAAAATAATAACTGAGTGTTTTTGCAAAATGCAGATATCAAATCATAATGTACGATATTGTGTAAATGAAAGCCTTTAGGATTTCAGTTGATACAATCTGACATTTTGAATATTTGCATTTAGTCTGTGATTAAAGAAACAAACCACAAAGTAATACTTGAAATGGACAGACATTAGATTTAAAAAATAAAAATAAATATTACATAACACTTTGAATAATTGATGTACAATCATGTTAACCTGAGCTTCGGCCATCCTCAGTCTGCCAGACTGTACATGCCGGTGCCCCCCCTCCCCCCATCCGCAGACGAGGCAGCGGGCCCTGGCAGAGCAATCCAGAGGAAATTCCACAGCATCTGTTTGTTATCACACAATGGTGCACGATGCAGCTCGGGCAGTGGGGCAGAAGACGAGGCAGAAGCTTAACTGAAAGAGGGCTATAATGCTGGAGGTCCCGCCGAGGGAGAAACAAGGGCTGCAGGAGGAGGAAGTGGGGAGGAGGGGGTAGGATCTTGGGAGGAGGGGGACGACCCGGGGATGAAAAGACAAGAGGTGGAGATCTTGGTGAGCGCCAGGTAGGTTTCAGGCCTTTGGCAGGCGGCCATGTTTTCCTGCGTTTGATCGGTGCCAGATGTTGACGCGTACGTGTTTGTTCAGAGAGTTCGACGGAGCGAAATGTTTCTGGCCCTGACCAACAGCTCTCAACGAGGCCCATGTTCCGGTGTTTTGGGGGCGGCGAGGTTCCGGGTGCTTGCCCCCTCTTTTAAGAGTTTAAGTAGAAGCGTGCAGTGGGACGCACCTGGATCCAAAGGGGGGGGGGGGGGGGGGTCGTTGCTGGTCTGCACAGATGGCGTGTGTGCGTGCGCGTGTGCGGCCGTGCACGTGTGTTATGATAGGGTTGGATGATGCCCTCGTCACATGGGCAGCAGTAATTGGCCTCCATATTGACCAGTTTGCAGCGCTGGGGGGCGGGCAGTCTCCCAGCTGGACCTGTCAGATGGCATCACATCCACCTCACTGATCACCCCCCGGACGACCTCCGCACCTCTCCCCTCGGTTCCTTTCATCTCTCCCTTCTCCTTCAGCCTCCTCCGTCACCTCTAATCTCCTGCGGCCTGTTCTGCCATCACAGGGACGAGCCGCTCCGTCCGTCACCGCCGCTGCCTTCTCTCTGCAGCTCTTTTAAACTTTAAAGACTCAACTTTGGAGAGGAAGACATATAAAAGACACCCGTGTTCAAAGTTCCTGCGTCAGTGTCGGTTGGTAGGAAGGTTTTTTGTGGGTGAATTCATTGAGCCTTGACCAAGACAGATTTACCTGTGAGCTATAGGCTATGTACATTTGTTCTGATACACCTGCTGCTCGGGTAATCTGATATTATATTCATGTATTCTATATATGTATTTTTTTTTTCTTCATCTTGAAGTCACGCTGATTTCTCATATCTATTTCTTGCTGATTCCAGGAAAATTATGAAACTCCTTCTTTAGTAAAAACAACATTTGAAATCTAAAACCCACCAAAGATCTTTCTTTGCAGGGTTTGTTTTAAGCAACCCTT